AGCGTAAAAGACATATCTGTGCAGGGGTATAGCACTTCATTTCCACATCCTGGGGATGAGTATACTTGTATTATGGTATAAACTACCATAGCTTACAGTAAAAATCAATTTATCAAGCTAGACACTAAACTTCTGGGTCACAAAGTTATCTGTTAAATTCTAATCTAAATCAAAAGCATCGACTGTCATTTTCTGAAAGAGATTTTTACAACATCGTAATAAGCATCCAGACATCGTTGAACTTTTAGTTGTTTTTTTTTTAAATAATTTGTCAATAAGGATTTTAGTAATAAGTCTACGACAAGGGAATCGTGTCAGTTGCGTCTTATTTTTATGTAAAGCCGTGAAGTGTAAAATATTGTATGTTAATTCCAAGTACAAATTGTGTACAACGTTTGGTTTGAAAATAATCAACAGAACACGTAACAATGTCACACGTTGAGAGATAGAGATAAGATACTGAACACAAAATTACACCAATTTATTCTGTCAGATGAAAGTAGGAGGTTTTACAGGACATGTATAGAAACGTGTAGGTAACGTGTGGGATTTTTATATGACGGGTGTAGGGCATTACCTCCTAAATTATCCTCGGTTAACCCCCCCCCCCCTTCCGTCATTATCATTTGTATCAATTCCCCCCCCCCCCCCCCATCCGTTCTAAATACCCCATCATTCCCTCTACCGTTATCCCCCATTTCTATCCCCCTCCCCCCTACTTCATTATCCCCCCCCCCCCCCCCCCGTCACCCACATCCCCGGCGTCCCTATGACTGGATCGATCACCCCCCCCCCCCCCCCTTTCCTTCGGGTAAACACTTTCCTCTGTAAAATACTTGGACATATCCTTATCCATTTCCAGATTGCTATTGCTATCCCTAACCCAATCCTTAAAACTATCCATATCTCTAACAGTATTCCTATTCCAATGCCTATAGGGTTGGTAAGTAGGTCAATAAACAGTTATATGGCTCATGCAGGTTTTATTGAGCCGTAGAACTGGTTGGTGACCTACTTACCAGCCCTGTCTATGTCTTTATCGCTATACCTAAATAACCGTTAAATAAGCGCGGGGAGGGCGGGGGGGGGGGGGGGGGGGGGGGGGTTAATGTCCTATTGCGTATATGTGGGCGGGTGAGGGGAAGGGATTCCCTAACGACAGGGGGGTTAAAACGCCCGGGGGTAGTTGAAGAGGGAATTTTTTTTTAACTCTAATAAACAGCCAGACGTATTACATCCTTTCCTTTATTCATTCAACTTTTTATAGATCTTTTAATTATGATTTGTAGACAATAGGACCAAGAATTATAGACATATATCAATCAGGTAAATTTGTCAGAATTCTATATAAACCTGAGTTCATCATTGAAATATGTCTACGTCAACTAAATCGTGACAATTTTTGCGTGTAGCATAAAATCTCGTGTACCCAACAGTCTGGCTAAGACCGTGTCTTAAAGAAAGCAGAGTACAACAGAAACGAAGAGGACCTTAAAAGCCGTTAGGCAGTTTGAGCCGGAGTGTGGAGCCGGCGTCCCACCCGGAGCCGGCGTTACACCCGGCGCCCCTTCAGGAGCCGGAAGTCCCTGGTTCAGTATGACCGGCCCCAGCCGGAGAAGCTGGACAGGTCAACGGCGTGCCTTTCCTCCCAGGTGGGGTGTTTGCCCCACCCCCCTCTCCTTGGTCTCCCGCTCCTCTCACTTTTATGGCACCGGCAAGCAATGGGCTGGCCCAGACCTTTCTCGTTCACTACGGCACACAAGGTCTTGCGCCCGAAATCTTCCATGGTTAAATTCTTCCCTTGGAGATCGTACAGGAAGTAGACGTAGCGTTCAGACAGAGGGCCAGTGGGTGCTTGGTATTCTGCAGTAATATTTTAAAGTTAAGCATGGAACAATCGACACATGTGTGTTATAAATACGTCAAATGTATACACATACGAGCGTATATGTTAAGTACATAACTTACACATACAAACATATATAGCATATATATATATATATATATATATATATATATATATATATATATATATATATATATATATATATATATATATATATATGTATATATATATAAATATATATAGTGTATATGTATATATATATATGTATATATATACTAAATATGTATGTGCATATATACATATATACATATATATATATATATGTATATATATATATATATATATATATATATATATATATATATATATATATATATATATACATATTTATTTGTTTATTTATATTCTGTTTTGAGGTATATTGGTGAGATTTCTTGTTTGGCGTATTATATTCTTGAGATATTTAGACTACGATTGTATGTGCCTGTGCCTGTGCCTGTGCCTATGCCTATGCCTATGTCTATGTCTATGTCTATGTGTATGTGTATGTGTATGTGTATGTGTATGTGTATGTGTATGTGTATGTGTATGTGTATGTGTATGTGTATGTGTATGTATATGTATATGTATATGTATATGTATATGTATATGTATATGTATATGTATATGTATATGTATATGTATATGTATATGTATATGTATATGTATATGTATATGTATATGTATATGTATATGTATATGTATATGTATATGTATATGTACATGTACATGTATATGTATATGTATATGTATAATCGCTGTTCAGTGTACTTATTGGTCCGGTGCACGTTCCAGTTCCTCAAACCATAAAGCAAAAAAAATTAGACCACTTTGAAAATCAACTTACCCCAAATCTCGGATTCTAAGGTAAGACCACATGAGTCGTCCATCTATGGAGATTTAATACAATACTAGAATACCCGTCATCCGTTGGATAACTGTGGGTTTCGGGGGTCATCCATCAAAAAACATCACGTCTGTCACTCAGAGGCATAGCGACCCTTCCCGGCGCCCGGGGACAAAGTTTTCGATTTGAACCCCCCCCCCCCTCAAACTTTTGATGTGCACCCCCCCCCCCCCCACTCAAACTTTCGATTTGAACCCCCCCTCAACCTATCAATTTATTTTTCCAAACCATTTTGGCGCCCCAACATATGCCCCCCCCCCCCTTCCCCCTCCCCACCCCCCGCCTCCCCTTCCCCCCCCCCCCACCCCCCCGCCTCCCCTCCCCCACCCCCCCGCCTCCCCTCCCCACCCCCCGCCTCCCCTCCCCTACCGTCCCCCCCCCTCCTCGGTACGCTACTGCAGTGTCACTTATCGTCACAAAAAAACAGACCCCACATTCAAATATATGTTTTTTATCTTTTAAAAACACCGAAAACACCGATTTCGGACTATCCCTTCATAAACTGACGTCACAGGTGACCTACTCAACTCTACTTCACCTGCCCAGTGTCCTGCCAAGTCTCAGACAACATGTTTTTATCGTTTAAAAAACAATTCCAGCCGAGCATGTATCTGACCACACTATCCTTTCATATGCTTAGGACAAAGAAACAGATGAACTCTACTTCACCTGCCCTGTATCTTGCCAAGTTCAGATAGGCAACGTTATCATTCACATCTAAAAAAAAAAAAATTGAAAAAAATAATTTCATTGACATATTGGTCTAGAACCCGTGCCTCCTGCATGAGAGCTGACTACGCTACCATTTTAGCTATTTACTCGTGACGTCACAAGTGAATTTTTATACTATACTATGTATCTCCTTATGCAACTTGATTTACGGCGTATAGATTCTAGATCTAGATCTAAAAATAAGTCTAGTAGTACTAACTTTCAAATTAAATTTTATCTTAAATAAGCCAAACAAAGATTTATATAAAATAATTAAGGCCTGAAATAGATTCTAGATGTAGAATTTACATTAAGTCTAGATCTAGAATTTACATAGAAACCTAGTGACCTACATCTAGGCTAGATCTAGATCTAGGCTAGATTCATAAATTTCCTTCGATAGCTGATCTTTAGATCTAGAGAAATTTATTGTAAAACTAAATGAAAAAGACAGTTGAACATTGATATAAGTGTTGGAACGTAATAAATACAGAAAACGGACGTATTGTTAAAGTTATGACCGACAGAAAATTAGATTTAGAACGCGTTAAACTTTGGAATGGGAACACAATTTTCTTCGATAGACGCCGCCATTTTATTGTACTAAAGAGTCAACAAAAAACTCTGACGTCACTATCAAGGGACGTCACTATCCCCACAAAGTTTATTCAAAGTATTAACATTTTTTAAAAAATACGGTTAATTTAACAATGAATAAATCAATAAATTAATTAACGTCTTTAAATAAATTTGTGATCAACAGTCTGTCTGCATTAAAAAATTATTCTCTACCTGCATACCATTTTACAGCTTTCCAGATAGAGCCGAACATATCAGGATACTTGATCAGGCAAACAAACAAACAAACAAAAAAACAAAAAAAATAAATATTCAAACATGTAAACAAACTTGACTTTTAGTAGTATACTAGAATACCCGTCATCCGTTGGATAACTGTGGGTTTCGGGGGTCATCCATCAAAAAACATCACGTCTGTCACTCAGAGGCATAGCGACCCTTCCCGGCGCCCGGGGACAAAGTTTTCGATTTGAACCCCCCCCCCACTCAAACTTTTGATGTGCACCCCCCCCCCCCACTCAAACTTTCGATTTGAACCCCCCTCAACCTATCAATTCATTTTTCCAAACCATTTTGGCGCCCCAACATATGTCCCCCCCCCCTTCCCCCCTCCACCTCCCCACCCCCCCCTTCCCCCCCCCCCCGCCTCCCCTCCCCTCCCCACCCCCCGCCTCCCCTCCCCACCCCCCGCCTCCCCTCCCCACCCCCGCCTCCCCTCCCCTACCGTCCCCCCCCCCTCCTCGGTACGCTACTGCAGTGTCACTTATCGTCACAAAAAACAGACCCCACATTCAAATATATGTTTTTTATCTTTTAAAAACACCGAAAACACCGATTTCGGACTATCCCTTCATAAACTGACGTCACAGGTGACCTACTCAACTCTACTTCACCTGCCCAGTGTCCTGCCAAGTCTCAGACAACATGTTTTTATCGTTTAAAAAACAATTCCAGCCGAGCATGTATCTGACCACACTATCCTTTCATATGCTTAGGACAAAGAAACAGATGAACTCTACTTCACCTGCCCTGTATCTTGCCAAGTTCAGATAGGCAACGTTATCATTCACATCTAAAAAAAAAATTGAAAAAAAAAATTTCACTGACATATTGGTCTAGAACCCGTGCCTCCTGCATGAGAGCTGACTACGCTACCATTTTAGCTATTTACTCGTGACGTCACAAGTAAATTTTTATACTATACTATGTGTCTCCTTATGCAACTTGATTTACGCGTATAGATTCTAGATCTAGATCTAAAAATAAGTCTAGTAGTACTAACTTTCAAATTAAATTTTATCTTAAATAAGCCAAACAAAGATTTATATAAAATAATTAAGGCCTGAAATAGATTCTAGATGTAGAATTTACATTGAATCTAGTGACCTACATCTAGGCTAGATCTAGATCTAGGCTAGATTCATAAATTTCCTTCGATAGCTGATCTTTAGATCTAGAGAAATTTATCGTAAAACTAAATGAAAAAGACAGTTGAAAATTGATATAAGTGTTGGAACGTAATAAATACAGCAAACGGACGTATTGTTAAAGTTATGACCGACAGAAAATTAGATTTAGAACGCGTTAAACTTTTGAATGGGAACACAATTTTCTTCAATAGACGCCGCCATTTTATTGTACTAAAGAGTAAACAAAAACCTGTGACGTCACTATTCCCACAAAGTTTAGTCAAGGTTCTAACATTTTAAAAAAAAATGGGTTATTCTGCGTAGGAATAAATCAATAAATTAATTAACGTCTTTAAATAAATTTGTGATCAACAGTCTGTCTGCATTAAAAAATTATTCTCTACCTGCATACCATTTTACAGCTTTCCAGATAGAGCCGAACATATCAGGATACTTGATCAGGCAAACAAACAAACAAACAAAAAAACAAAAAAATAAATATTCAAACATGTAAACAAAGTTGACTTTTAGTAGTATATAGATAGATGATTGTAACCTATGTTTAATAGTTATTTAGGAGCTTAGCCTATATCGCGTCATGGGATGAAGTTTTGAAGAGCTGCTGCCTAGCTCTGCTGGGTACCTCGATGCAGTTATCAGAAAATACGAGCTACTGGGGCGTAGCGTATTGCACAATTTACGCCCAGATTAATATATAAATATAAGCAACTGAATTATAGTTTCAAACTCGCACACATTAATTTCATTTTTTATTTATTATCTTCTTCTTCTTCTCCGTTCTTAATTTTTAGTGTTGTAAGGGAACGAGCCTTATCTGCCAGAGGGTTTGAACTCGAGACATTTTTTTCGAATTTATCAACCATGAGCTTTGCCGACTCGACCATGCTTACATCACAATTAAGGATTACGTGTCAACTGGATATGCGCCATTGAGGCCATTGACTCCGATTTCAGCCTGCTTTTCTTTTTGGATTTGCTTCCAAGAACAAACTACAAGGTAGCAGTTGTTTAATTTTGGAGTTGTCTCTCCTAGATGAGGAGCTGTCCCCAGCTAACAAGCCTCATCTGCCCGAGGGTTCGAACTCGAGACATTTAGGTTTAGCAACCATGAGCTTTACCGACTCGACCACGCCGTCCCCTAACGACTTCGTGTAATTACAAATCTGAATGTTTTTGTTTTTTTAGATTAGAAAAGTTTAAGCTATAAATGGACAAGGTAAGGCGGTACGAAAACAAAGAAACAACGTCGAAAAATTGTTTTAAAAATCCAATAAATGAGGAACTTACTTTAAATATTGCGCCCCAGCTAGATGAATCATAGACCTCAAATTTTGCAAAAAGAACTACTTTGTGCGGTTTCTGAAAAATAAAAAAGTAAAATGTGTTGCATAAATGATGTCACGCTTTCGAAATTGATTTTTTAAACAAACCCACCAACCCCCACCATCGCCCCTACACCCAATCTTTCCTTCCCCCTATATGTATTGATACTGTGTCTTGTTATTTACGGTTTATAGACAATTACAAAGCAATACAATTTGGGATCAAACCTGGAATTTACAGTTTTGATTCCATTTTTAGCGATCAATTACTCCTGTGATAGTACGATGTTTTTAAAAACTTGTAGAAATAAGTGTGCTCTCTTAATTACACACACATACACACACACACACACACACACACACACACACACACACACATATATATATATATATATATATATATATATATATATATATATATATATATATATATATATATATATATCAGTGGCGTAGCGAGGTCGGGTGTCACCCGGTGCGGCACTTAATGGTGTCACCCCCCCCCCCCAGAGGCGTTGCGACCCTTCCCGGGGACAAACTTTCAAGTTTTCGATTTGCACCCCCCCTCAAGTTTTTCTCTATATATTTTGCTATTTTTTTGCCTTGGTGTCACCCTCCTAAATGGTGTCACCCGGTGCGGTCCGCACCCCGCCCCCCCCCCCCCCTCGCTACGCCCCTGATATATATATATATATATATATATATATATATATATATATATATATATATATATATATATATATATATATATATATGCATGTATATAGTACGTAAAATTACACTAGTTTCTTAATGTTAACTCTAGTACATATTTTTCATTTCTCTTCATAAAACATTTTTATACATGTAATCTGTGGTTTCTTATGTTTTCCTGTAATTTTGAAAAAAAAAACTGATGCGCTAAAGCGACAAATAATGGTAGATTTATGTACTAATTTAACCACTTATAACCTTTATGTTAGCTTTTTAAAAATGTTTGTTTTTGTACAGTAAACTTTTTTCTTTGAGCAAGGAATTTGAAAAAAGAAATGCCAATGCCTTGTTTACTAACCCGATACTTACCTTGGCAACATAGGCTTTCAATGTCGGTTTATTTGCAAACACATTGTCTGCCCCCATGGTGTACTCATCATCGCACACAGTGATGCCAATGGGCTCAGGGTAAATGATTTGCAGGTTACAAGGTTGAGGGGGCTTGACGGTCAGGCAGGAGTAATCAGGTAAGCAGGTAACTGACGCTAGAAGAGTCACAAGAACCAGGAGTCGGAGCGTCATTCTCATTGTCTGAAATTACGTCCAACTTATAAATTTTGATTCTTGCTAACAATAGAAAAGACAGTCTGAGCGTCATTCTCATTTTCTGAAATTATGACCAAAGTATAAATGTTGATCTGTGCTAAAACTAGCAGAGTGCCAATCTGATTGTATAAAAATTACAGCCAACGAATAACTGTTATTAGGAGACGGTGTGGCTAAGAGGTAGATCGACATGCTTCTTATCCAGAAGTCCTGACTTCAAATCCTCTTCTAAAACTAGAAAAGACAGTCTGAGTGTCAATCTCATTGTCTGAAATTTCGGCCAAAGCGATAGTAAAAGCGTCACTGTGTCGAAAATTATGTATTAATTAAGTATTAAGTATAATTATTGATCATTGAGAGGATAATTAGGGGCATCAGCTGGTGTAGTACGCTTCATCTTTAAGTGCTGGACTAAAGAACGACATATGAAGTGTCAGGTCCCCACAGAGATCCGAACTCGAGACTTGGTGTGTGTTTTGATAGCACTAATACAGCCATAATCCTTACACTAACCTTAACCCTGTTCCTAGCACTTACCCTTATAATACGACTAATACAGCCATAATCCTTACCTGTTCCTAGCACTTACCCTAATAATACGACTAATACAGCCATAATTCTTACACTAACCATAACCCTGCTCCTAGCACTTACCTTTATAATAAGACTAATACAGCCATAATGCTTACACTAACCATAACCCTGTTCCTAGCACTTACCTTTATAATACGACTAATACAGCCATAATGCTTACACTAACCATAACCCTGTTCCTAGCACTTACCTTTATAATACGACTAATACAGTCATAATCCTTACACTAGCCATAACCTTGTTCCTAGCACTTACCTTTATAATACGACTAATACAGTCATAATCCTTACACTAGCCATAACCTTGTTCCTAGCACTTACCTTTATAATAAGACTAATACAGCCATAATTCTTACACTAACCATAACCCTGCTCCTAGCACTTAACTTTATAATACGACTAATACAGCCATAAACAATACACTAACCTTAACCCTGCTCCTAGCACTTACCTTTATAATAAGACTAATACAGCCATAATTCTTACACTAACCATAACCCTGTTCCTAGCACTTACCCTTATAATACGACTAATACAGCCATAATCCTTACACTAACCTTAACCCTGTTCCTAGCACTTACCCTAATAATACGACTAATACAGCCATAATCCTTACACTAACCATAACCCTGTTCCTAGCACTTACCCTAATAATACGACTAATACAGCCATAATCCTTACACTAACCTTAACCCTGTTCCTAGCACTTACCCTAATAATACGACTAATACAGCCATAATCCTTACACTAACCTTAACCCTGTTCCTAGCACTTACCCTAATAATACGACTAATACAGCCATAATCCTTACACTAACCATAACCCTGTTCCTAGCACTTACCCTAATAATACGACTAATACAGCCATAATCCTTACACTAACCATAACCCTGTTCCTAGCACTTACCCTAATAATACGACTAATACAGCCATAATCCTTACACTAACCTTAACCCTGTTCCTAGCACTTACCCTAATAATACGACTAATACAGCCATAATCCTTACACTAACCTTAACCCTGTTCCTAGCACTTACCCTAATAATACGACTAATACAGCCATAATCCTTACACTAACCATAACCCTGTTCCTAGCACTTACCCTAATAATACGACTAATACAGCCATAATCCTTACACTAACCTTAACCCTGTTCCTAGCACTTACCTTAATAATACGACCAATACAGCCATAATCCTTACACTAACCATAACCCTGTTCCTAGCACTTACCCTAATAATACGACTAATACAGCCATAATCCTTACACTAACCTTAACCCTGTTCCTAGCACTTACCCTAATAATACGACTAATACAGCCATAATCCTTACACTAACCATAACCCTGTTCCTAGCACTTACCCTTAGAATACGACTAATACAGCCATAATCCTTACACTAACCATAACCCTGTTCCTAGCACTTACCCTAATAATACGACTAATACAGCCATAATCCTTACACTAACCTTAACCCTGTTCCTAGCACTTACCCTAATAATACGACTAATACAGCCATAAACCTTACACTAACCATAACCCTGTTCCTAGCACTTACCCTAATAATACGACTAATACAGCCATAATTCTTACACTAACCATAACCCTGTTCCTAGCACTTACCCTAATAATACGACTAATACAGCCATAATCCTTACACTAACCATAACCCTGTTCCTAGCACTTACCCTAATAATACGACTAATACAGCCATAATCCTTACACTAACCTTAACCCTGTTCCTAGCACTTACCCTAATAATACGACTAATACAGCCATAAACCTTACACTAACCTTAACCCTGTTCCTAGCACTTACCCTAATAATACGACTAATACAGCCATAATCCTTACACAACCATAACCCTGTTCCTAGCACTTACCCTTATAATACGACAAATGCAGCCATAATTCTTACACTAACCATAACCCTGTTCCTAGCACTAACCCTAATAATACGACTAATACAGCCATAATGCTTACACTAACCATAACCCAATCCTTACAGAATTTTTTATGTAATACATCTTTTGATAACCGTAGTATATTACTCTGTAGGAGTCCCCCCCCCCCCCCCTTGCACCTCACATAAACATAACATACAATAAAAGCTGTTACTACACACTTTGTTTTAAAACAAAAAGTCATCACAATTGATTGATTTGTGAGACGTTTGACATATACATTTTCTTGGTAATGTTTATCGATCTAAACAAGGATGAAACCCAGTATGTTTTAACGTATTCAACAACAGTTTCTATCAAGAAGCTTACTGTGAAGGGGTGGAAGGGCATTGCCTCGCCCCCTTCCGAACGATATAGAAAAATGTTAAACCAGTGTCCACTTCAATCCACCAACCCCACCCACCCCCACCGCGGAAATTTAAAAGTGTGCCCCTCTCCCACCCACCAAATACACAAGCCTGAGGGGGTGTGGTACTTGTGCAACAATTATTTAAAACAGCTGTCCAAAGGTAGTTCCATAGAAAATTTATATTTCACTGCATTCAAACTGGTGCCTTGCTCAGTAAATCAAAATGATAAACCAGCGTTGAGCACGTTTTTAGGGCATCATCAGTAGGGATCATGATTAGCACTAATCCTAAAGTAAATAGAACAAAGATTAATGTGCGTAAAGGTCAAGGTTAGGGTCGATAAGGGTTTAGATTAGTTCAGGTGGGGTTAGAATTAAGTGCATGATCCTTTCGTATTAGAATTTAGGACCAAGCTAAGTACAAGTACAATGATTATAATATGCGAAGGTCTAAGGTGAGGTTAGATTTATTGGTAATCTATCGTTTTGGGTACGTAAAATCGCCCGCGGCTATTAATGTACGAAAACGTTACCTCATTGTCAAGGCTGTAATAGAAGTATATTGTGATTTGTTTGTGTCAAATATTATAGATAAATGAATAATAAACCTAAATCTATGGCTAAATATATCAATATAGGCCGGAAATTAACTTTAAACAGCAGTGTCTGCAAGTAAGATTTGCTATATAAACAGCAGCCATTTGTAAAATAGAGTGACTTCCGCCTGAATCTCGCTATAAGTCTATAAAAATAAAATTTTAACAAGATGGCTGCTATAGTAAATGAGCATGGTTGCATCTGTTGGAAACATCGCTGGTGTTCATTTATTACTGAAAAGTTTTAATTCAATTGTTTTAAAACAGGTACATAAATGAAACAAGGAAACATTTTTATATTTTTCAAAACATAAATCCTCCTTAAAATGCGAAATAATTATTAAAATGTAAGGAGTCACCTGTTTTTCACATTACTAGTCGCGGGCGATTTTACGTACCTAAAACGATAGATTACCGATTTATTTTAGCTGTAGTATTGAACAATTAAAATCGAGTACACACTTCTTATGGAATCGTAACCTCCAACACTCAAAATTGACAATAGACTAAAACTAATCATATTGAAGCCTAAAACAGACACAAAGCAAATTAACTAGATCTAGATCTAGATCTAGAATCTGGATCTAGTATTAGTAATTACTACAAGTATCATCTAGATATGGTTAAGTAAAAATTGATAGATCTAGATTTCTAAGAGCTTAATTGTTCCAATGATTTACATTGGTTTAGAGTACTTTAGAGACTATATCAATGCAACAAAAACAAAACCCCAACAATTTTAACATAGCAAACCCAAAGACAGTAATTCAGCTATTGATCAGCGAAGGTCAAATACCTCGGTTTTTGTAACCATTTTCAACCTTCATGGGTGTAAACTATCTTTGATCAACTTCCGTTTAGCCGTGCGAACTAGTGCAGTTACTAAAACAACACTTGCTTTGAACACAAAACAAATTTGCGCACCAAATAAACACTTTGCATTTATAATATGATTAAACCAAGCCAGAGTCTGTAAGCGGCGCCCCATAGTAGTGTTACCGGGGGCTCACAAGAGCGCCCTTGTACGTCTCCGACATCTGGACGATCACCGAAGTATGTTTTACCTCACTATTGATGAGAGCGATTAACGTACACTCAAGGCTTTCTCACACAACACGCCCTGGGATGCAGAGGCGTAGCGAAAGGGGGGGGGGGGGGCAGGGGGTACATATGTCCCCGGGCGCCGACCTTAGGGGGTGCCAAAATGGGTTGGAAAAACAAATTAAAATCTAATTTAATCTGCATTTTTGCTTTATAAATATAAAAAATATACGAGGGTGGGGGGTGCAAATTGAAAGTTTGAGGGGGGGGGGGGGGTTCAAATAGAAAGTTCGAGGGGGGGCGGGGTGTAAATCGTAAATTGAAAGGTTGATCCCGAGGGGGGCGCCAAATTGAAAGTTTGTCCCAGGGCGCCGGGAAGGGTCGATACGCCTCTGCTGGGATGAGCAGGGTGGTAGTAAAGGTAAACCCGTGTCCCGACATATACGATCCAAGAAATACAGCGCAGGCATTGTCGACGTTAAAACTGCTTAGTGTTAGAAAACAAGGTCACACGTTAAAGAATATAGGATAGGTTAGGCAATGATGAAAGCCTCTTAAAGTATTGCGTCAAAAATTCTTTGAAGACCGCGGCAACCGGCACATTATATATATATATATATATATATATATATATATATATATATATATATATATATATATATATATATATATATATATATATATATATATATATATAAGTTTTAAGTTTTTCTTAAAGTAGTCTAGATCTTTAAAAAATTAAACACTATTGATAGCAAGGACAAGATTAAAGTAACTCCAAGAAAAATAATTACGTAAACAATTCAATTTTAAATAAGCTCATTTGCGGCCTTTCTTTATCTCTTCCGACCTCCATCACCCACCCCCCCCCCCCCTTATTTTTCCAATACGTTCTGTGCCCAATCATACAATCAATAAACTTATTAAGACTCCTCCCTGAAATATATTGAAAGTTTGCTAGTTTTAAAAACTACAGTTTCTGTAGTGGTATTTTAACTATAATTTTACCCTCTAGCGTAAGGCGGAGACTGTAGATGTAAATAACTCAACGACAGAAATGTATCTAGTATATATGTTTACAAAAACATTATGCAAGCTAAAGTACACGAAATTAAATTTTAATCAGATTGTAGGTACATGTATCAGTTTACCAGGTTGATAGTTTAAATGGTACAGGTATGGGTATATAAGCCTATAGGATTCAGTATTACACACGTTTTAAGTTATCGCAAAAGCATAATAAATCCTTTTTTACTTTCTCGTATATACGAAGTATGGAGAAAGTATTGTAATCGTTCACAAAAATAGAATGAAATTTTGACAGTTTTCACCATTTTACTCCTCAGTCCTTCATCACATCCTGAGTATAGAGGACTTATTTTAATCAGGCAAAAATTATAAATACAAATATATAAACATTTTGGCGTTTTATGCGTTATCGAGTCGTAAAAACTGGACTTTGAAATTCTGTCCGTATGTCTGTGTGTGTGTGTGTGTCTGTGTGTAAACACGATAACTTGAGTACCGTTACAGCTAGGTTGATGAAATTTCATACATAAGTATTTTATCAAAATCGTAGATCCTGATCAACTTTTGAGCGATTTCCAATAACCGGAAGTGGTACATTTTCTACTTTGAATTTTTGAGTACTATTTCAGATAGATAAATGAAATTTCACATGTAAGTAAAAGATCTAATTCTCTGCCTTCTGTCAAATTTTGGGTAATTTCCGTTGATCGTAAGTACTAATTTACGCTATATCCGATTTCTCAAAAAACGAATGTAAACTAATAAAGTACTAATAATATTCCGCACTATTATGAACGTTTTATTTGGCGTTCACATGTGTGCAATTCTTTTTTCTACGAGATTTTATTCTATTTTAAAAAGTTTAAGTATTTAAAATGGATTAAAGTTCATGTCTATATCCCGAGTTCCCATCCCCTGTTTTTTTATAAAAGAATATTCGAGAAAGTTTAGGGGAGATCGCTCCCGGTTTATTTTAATAGAAGCCAACATTTAAATTTTGCTAGAAACTAATCGCATGGTTACATTAATTGAGCAACAAATAAACCTGCTTTGAATTAGAATGCCTACTTTACATAGCAATCTTTACTTTATTTTAAAATCGTTACTAATCAATATTTATGGCACACTGCACAGTTATTTGTCTTCATTGAGGCCTCAGGTTTTGAAGAAATCAGCTCAATAAAACTGTTTGAAAATAAATTTGCTAACGAATTTTGAAATATTGAACCATATCGGACGAGGCATGATAGCATGTAAAAATAAACTTTTAAAATCTCCGAATGAGCCTATGAGTTCGTTTTGCGCCAATTTGAACGGAAGTTGCTGCCTTAGCAACTTTTGTGATAAAATGGTGAAAACTTAAACAAAATATAGGGGCCTATTATGATTTCAGTGAGATTATATTGTTGACTTAGATGCATGCTTCTATGTTTCAAAAGGTGACAGTTTAAATGTTAATTTCGGTTTTAACTTTTCTTAAGTCAGGTTGAAATTTTTCTTTAATTAAACTAGATCTTTTAAAAATTTAAAACCATTCATAAAAAAAACCGTTTTTAATGCACTTCCGTTTTTGAACGATTTTAAATTTTTTGATCATAAGTTACCTCATGTATTTTAAAGCCTTTTTCAGAGGCGTAGCGAAGGGGGGGGGGGGGCAGGGTGTACATATGTCCCGGGCGCCGACCCTAGGGGGCGCCAAAATGGGTTGAAAAAAAAATTAAAAGCTCATTTTAGCTGCAGTTTTGCATTATAAATTTTAAAATATATGGGGGGGGGGGGCGCCAAATTGAAAGCTTGGTTCGGGGGGGGGGGCGCCAAATTGAAAGTTTGTCCCCGGGCGCCGGGAAGGGTCGCTACGCCTCTGGCCTATTTTAAACACTCCTCTAAGTCATTGATACACGGCTTAAAAAACAAAAAGCCATACTTCTAATAGCAATTCACCCAAAAAAGCCATACCCAAAAAAAAAAAATATGTTGCTCATTGTATTCTTCTAAATAAATAATACGTCACATTTAGTAAGCCACTCACTAGCTTGTACCACCATCATCGTCATCAAATAGTCTGAACTCTACCTCAACTCAGGTAGATGTTTATATTTTATGTTCAACTCTCTATTACCCCCCCCTCCCCGATATTGTATGGTCAACCCCTTAGTACCCCCTTCACGTGTTTTGCTGTCAAGTGCCTAGTACCCCCACCATATTTTTAATGGTCAATCCTTTAGTATCATTTAGTGTCCACATTTTAAGGGTTAATCCATTAGTACCGCCATTTTTATGGTCAACCCTTTAGTACCCCAACATATTGTATGGTAAATCCCTTAGTACCACTAATTTTTTATGGTCAATCCCTAAGCACCACCCCTCCCCCAGTTTTATTGTCGATCACTTAGTACCTCAAATTTTTATGGTCAACTCCCTAGTTCCCTAACATATTGTATATTCAATCCCTTAGTACCCCAATTTTTATGGTCAATTCCTTAGTACCCCATAAGTTTATGGTTAATCCCTTAGTACCCCATAAGTTTATGGTCAATCCCTTAGTACCCCAACCTATTGTATGGTCAATCCCTTAGTACCCCAACCTATTGTATGGTCAATCCCTTGACACCCCACATATATGGTGAATCCCTTATTACCCCAGCCTAATGTACGGTCAATCCCTTATAACCCCACATTTTTTGGTCTATCCCTTGGTACCCCCCCCCCCCCACCCTTTCACGCTCATTTGTTTTATGTTCAACCTCCTAGTACCCCCAAATATAACCTCATATAGCCAATGTCAAGGGCACAGGAAATGCTTTTGCATCAATGAGCTAGCAAGTTCAGCACTGAACCATATTTATTGCTGACACCTCAAGGATTGTGTGGTGACGCGAATTTTATCTTCACTTTTAACAATCCATTAATTAGTGCGCAGCATCGGTAATTCCCATAAGTTCAAACAAGCAACAAAAGACGACATATTTTTGTTTATTGTACTGAAAACTCACTAAGACTAAAGTTGACTTTGATCTATTACATTTTCTTAAGTACTGCTAAATTTGTTTTTATATATAAACAAGTTAATTAAAAAGTCTAGTGACAATTTTAGCGCAATTTCCTTATATCGAACCTCAGCTTATTAATAGGGTACAAAAATAACGTTTGATTTAATAAGTAAATTAAATCGAGATAAATCATATATTGAGCAAATAAATAATGCAACACAAGTAGTTTTAATAATTCAAAACAAAATAGAAAAAATATTTATTAACGAGATTTTTAAAAAAATCCTTTCGAACCTCCGCTCATTCGCTATGGTAAAATCCTTTCGAACCTCAGCTTATTAATAGGGTACAAAAATAACGTTTGAATTAATAAGTAAATTAAATCGAGATAAATCATATATTCAGCAAATAAATAATGCAACACAAGTAGTTTTAATAATTCAAAACAAAATAGAAACTAGCCTCCCGTATCAGTCGAAAAAAAAGGGGAGAGTAGCCTCCCGTATCAGTCGAAAAAAAAGGGGAAAAATTTAAAAAATCCTTTCGAACCTCCGCTCATTAAAATCCTTTCGATCCTCAGCTTTTGCGCTAAAAACCTACAAGACGCTCAGTTTAAAAATTCTTAATTAATTTTTTGTGACCGAACGAAAGGATATTTTTGAAAACTTTCTTCGGCAATATTGGTTTAAATTATGGCAGGAATCGATTGGTAAATGTTTCAAGTCGCTAAGTGGTCTGGTTGCCTAGATATGTAGCAAAAACTGAATTTGTTCGAGGTTTTTTGGCTTTTACGGGAAATCCATGAAAGAAACCCGGAATTTTTATGGCCTATGTTCATCCTCGTAACTGGCTTAACATAATTGCTTTTGGAACTAGTCATCGATATTGCTTCGTTGAGGAGGAGATACGACTTAAAGCTGTGGACACACATTCATCCATCCATCCATCCATCCATCCAGAAATGACGGGTTAATAAACGCAATTCTCCAGAATGGAAATTGCGCTAAAAAAGTATGAAACACAATAAGCTATTTTTAATAATTACAGAAATGTAATATATTTTTATGCAAGAGATGTAGATCAGGGTTAGAAAGATAGAATTTAAAATATATTTATATATGTTTAATAATGTATATATTTCTTTTTCTTTTTCCTCATACGGACTGGGTTTGCTCTTACTGATTGGGTTAAATAAGTGGGGTGGAATGTTAGACAAAAAGTTTAAATGGAAGTTCCCTTAGAGCCATGTTAGTTTTATTTTCTGCACATTTTTTTTTTACTTTTAATTAGGAATCGTTTATTAAATTCTTGTGTAAAATATCAATTTACTTGGGGTTTTTTTTTTCAATTTTTAAAAGTATTTTGTTAGTTCATATAAGAGTTATAAATTCAAAATACAATTTATGAATTTTTTTCTATAAAACCTGCTTATTAATACCGGCTCAAACGTCCTATGATTGTAAGTTGAAATCTTTTCCTTCTACGTTCTTAATTCTTGTGTTGTAATGGATTCCTCCAACATAATTAAGTCAGTAGCGTAGCGAGGGGTGGGGGTGGGGGGGGGGGTGGGACATATGTCCCCGGGCGCCGACCTTAGGGGGCGCCAAAATGGGTTGGAAAAATACATTGAAAGGTTGAGGGGGGTGCATATCGAAAGTTTGAGGGGGGGGGGGGGGTACAAATCGAAATCTTGAGGGAGGGGGGTGCAAAACGAAAAGTTTGTCCCCGGGTGCCGGGAAGGGTCGCTACGCCTCTGAATTAAGTATTACGTGTAAAATTGTTATGCGCCATATAGACAGTTGATTCCGATTTCAGCATGCTTTTCTTTTTGGATTTTCTTCCATTATCTTTGTTCAGCCAAGAACAAACTACAAGGCAGTAGTTGTTTGATTTTGGAGTTGTCTCTCCTAGATGTTGTCGAGCCTCATCTACCTGGGTGTTCGAACTCAAGACTGTTCTGTTTAGTAACCATGAACTTTACCGACTCGACCACGCCGACCTCACTATGAAGTAATGAGTTTTCAACTATCATTACAGGAAACCTAAAGTATGATCCAACTGTTGATTCTTGCGACTCTACTGGGGTCCGTGACCAGCCAGCAGGCTAATTTCGACTGTTTCAAGACCCAGCCACCCCAACCTTGTAACCTGCAAGTCACCTACCCTGAGCCGATAGGGATAACAACATGCGACGGTGAATACAAAAGGGGGACGGGCGACTCGGCCTTCAAGACACAGCCAACGTTTAGAGCAGCGGTCACTAAAGTAAGTTACAATTCGAGTGTCTGTTTGTGGACAGTTACAATTTGAGTGTCCGTTTGTGAACAGTTACAATTCGAGTGTTACAATTCGATTGTCTGTGAAAAATTACAATTTGAGTGTCTGTTTGTGAACAGTAACAATTCGAGTGTCTGTTTGTGAACAGTTACAATTCGAGTGTCTGTTTGTGAAATTACAATTTGAGTGTTACAATTCGATTGTCTTTGAACAATTGTAATTTGAGTGTTTGTTTATGAACAGTAACAATTCGATTGTCTGTCTGTAAACAATTACAATTCCTGTATATGTGAACAATTACAATACGAGTGTCTGTTTGTGAATAATTACAATTCGAGTGTCTGTTTGTGAACAATTATAATTTGAGTGTCTGTTTGTGAACAGTTACAATTCAAGTGTCTGTTTGTGAACAATTATAATTTGAGTGTCTGTTTGTGAACAGTTACAATTCAAGTGTCTGTTTGTGAACAATTATAATTCAAGTGTCTGTGAACAATAACAATTCGAGTGTCTGTTTGTGAACAGTTACAATTCGAGTGTCTGTTTATTAACAGTAACGATTCGAGTGTCGCTTTACGAACACTTACAATACGAGTGTCCGTTTAAGAACAGGGCCCAAACACACTGTCCCCAGTGGTAACCCATCTTTCTTGTGCTAGTTTCTCCGTCCCCATCTTTCTTGTGCTAGTTTCTCCAAATTAATGCACCATTTCTCTTGTGTTTCTTTTGTCACCGGTTTATTCCGGACAGCATGATATATCTGTTCTCTTTCTTCCCTTTTGTCAACTGAAGGCACAACTTAGCAACTTAAATAGTAAAAAATAGTTCATCTAAAAACACATGGTCATTACATTACTGCCGTGTTTTTGTTTTTATTCAGCAACCACAAAACGCTGTTCTTTTGATGATGGAGCGAGAAAACACAGCCGTTGGATTATTCTTCAAAGCTAAGGTATTGTATAAACGGCTTTAGTTTACATTTCGTTCGAATAAATTACAATGATAGCTATTTTTTTTTTACCTGAAACGTCTAGTATCTTCTTGTATCTAGGTCTTATAAATACACGATTAGAAAGATATTTTTTAAAACCACTTTACGAAAAAAAAAAATCATTGATGAGGCTAATATACTGGGATCTTTGATAAACTCACGTTTACAATTAATTTTAGAATGTGAAAAAAAAACTATTTCTATGTGTATTTGAACTCTAAATTCATTGTATACTTAGGTATAAAATCAGGTTTTCCAAAGTTTAGCTTGCTTTGTCTCTTAGAGCTTACCACACTTTACAAATAAGATCTTTTATTCCTGCTGGAAGCAGATTGTAGAAGTTGATATTTGACTAAAATCTACTTCATTAGTACTACATTGATAAATAATAATATCTTATAAACTTGTTTATATAAATATATATATATATATATATATATATATATATATATATATATATATATATATATATATATATATATATATGTTTATCCAATGCAAAGTGTCACCAAGTTTGTACGTCCCGGTGTAGTGACGTCATCCCCTTTACAAATAAAATTATGCATATTGACATTTAAAAGGACACGCTATAAAAACATTATTATAAATGTCGAGTCAGTTCTTTTTCCCAATAGTCCTTGGTCTTGGCAAATGAAAGAATGTTATGGCAACACTGCGGTCGGTCTCCTTTTTTATTGAACTCGACTCGGATACCTACTGGACTCGATCCCGCGAACCAAACATTCTGTGTCGTAATCGATACCGTCCCTCTAAGCAGTGGCGTAGCGAGGGGGGGGGGGCGGTGGGTGCGGACCGCACCGGGTTACACCATTTAGGGGGGTGACACCAAGGCAAAAAATAGCAAAATATATAGAGAAAAACTTGAGGGGGGGGGGGGGTGCAAATCGAAAAGTTGAAAGTTGGGGGGCGGGGGGGTGACACCATTAAGTGCCGCACCGCGTGACACCCGACCTCGCTACGCCACTGCCTCTAAGTACCATGGTGTGAAATGTGGAGGTTTATGTGCTCATTCCTAACTAACATTGATCAGATAATAATGTGTTCGGTGTATAACCTTAACAATAATTTTATACATAATTTTTATTTGGAATGCGGAACCAAAAAAATAATTAACCCATTACATTGGTTGTTTTTTTTTTTCGTCCATTTAAAACTCTTGTAGGTAAACATGAACTGTGATGTAGAGATAGATGGGCCGCCTCCAGGTGAGTTATCTTGTTTAAGATAAAAAAATTTAAAAAGTATTGTTTCAAACAGACCTTCTTCAACCCCCCCCCCTCCACACACACCCACACACATGTACAAATGTGGGCCGACTGATGATAATGAAGTGAGTCAACTATTATAACTTGTAATATTACATACACATAAAAAAATCCTCTTTAGACCTAGACCATCGTACAGATGAAGAAGAGTTTCATTTATTTCTTGACCTCGGCATATGAAGGGAAAATGCGGTCAGCACTATGCCGTCTTTACTTTCCCTAACGTGAGTTCTGTACCCATCAGAGTTAGATGGACTCAGAGGCGTTCTACTTGCGAGTTAGCAGTCCAGCGCTCTACCGCTCGTCCACTCCGCCCCACATTAGAACTACCTAAACACACAAGTAAATTTCAGTCTCACAATAGCAAAAAAAAAAAAAAAAAAAAAAAAAAAAAAACATTATTAATCAAGAAAATGCAATATAAGTAAATAAAAATGTCGGTATATTTCTTAGATTCGTATCACGGACCGAACCCTCAAGAGGGAGCACATCATTACGTGTATTTTCTGTTCGACGTTGGAGACAAGGACTTTCAGCATTCGCAGATCGATATCGATGGCCTCTGCCCAGTGCTCACCAGACTGGGGGTGGGGGACCCCATCGCTGTCTCACAGATCACCGTTTCACAAAACGACGGCCCCGGTGATGCGACACCAGCGGCAAAGGGGAGTCCGTTGGCTTGCCCGCTCAGTGGTGGAGCTCAGGGACCTACACCTGCACCTGGAGGGGCACCTGGAGGGGCACCTGGAGGGGCACCTGGAGGGACACCTGAACCTCCACCTGGAGGTGCACCTGGAGGGGCACCTGGAACTACGGCAGCCCCTACACCAGGATCTGGCTCATGTTGCCAAACTACAATTGGACTTTACATTATCTCTTTACTGCTATGTCTTGTTTAGATAACCATAAGCATTCATATATATATATATATATATATATATATATATATATATATATATATATATATATATATATATATATATATATATATATATATAACTTCAACAGCCACTAGGCACAGTGTTTAATTAAAATTTATTATTAAAGTTAGAGGTTTTTTTTTAAATTTTGGTTTTTATGAGTTTGATTTATCGTATCTTTATCTAGTCGAGTACATACAAACTGTAGTAACAACGCCAGATGTGTCTTCAACTCACCACGACAGATATGTAGGTGCACAAGCATGTCACTCAAGAAAAGAATCTTCAAAACAAATGTTAAGGCAGTATTGCTTCATGCTTCGGTGATCTGCAGGGTTACCCAGCCAAATAGAGACAGGTTGCAGTAGTTCACAAATATATATTTTTTTCACGACAGATCCTCAAGAAAAGATAGCTAGACAAAAAAAAATAGGACTAGTAAGTCTCGGCCTCTCTCGCTAAAAAATCGAAATCTCGTTATACAGGAAGAGATTTGAATGTTCGAAGAAAATTATTTTGTTTTGTAAATGTTTCCCACTATAGCAAAAAAACATGTCAGGTATTTGTTTTGAATGTCTCGCTTTAAAGATTTTTAAATACCAGCAGAACCCAAAATGGAAAAGATTGCGAAATTTCAACGAAAAATAGAATTAAATTAAGTATCAGTAAGCATAGGCTATTAATAGTAAATATACCTAACTCTAGCAAAACAAAGAAAAAATTCTTAAGTAAGCGAGTCAACTAGGACTACAATGACCTCAACTTTAGCATGAGAGTCAACTAGAATATCAACTTTAGCATGAGTCAACTAGGACATCAACTTTAGCATGAGAGTCAACTAGGACATCAACTTTAGCACGAGAGTCAACTTGAACATCAACTTTAGCATGAGAGTCAACTAGAACATCAACTTTAGCATGAGAGTCAACTAGGACATCAACTTTAGCATGAGAGTCAACTTGAAGATTAACTTTAGCATGAGAGTTAACTAGAACATCAACTTTAGCATGAGAGTCAACTAGGACATCAACTTTAGCATGAGAGTCAACTAGAACATCAACTTTAGCATGAGTCAACTAGAACATCAACTTTAGCATGAGAGTCAACTAGAACATCAACTTTAGCATGAGAGTCAACTAGAACATCAACTTTAGCATGAGAGTCAACTAGAACATCAACTTTAGCATGAGAGTCAACTAGAACATCAACTTTAGCATGAGAGTCAACTAGGACATCAACTTTAGCATGAGAGTCAACTAGAACATCAACTTTAGCATGAGAGTCAACTAGAACATCAACTTTAGCATGAGAGTCAACTAGAATATCAACTTTAGCATGAGAGTCAACTAGGACATCAACTTTAGCATGAGAGTCAACTTGAACATCAACTTTAGCATGAGAGTCAACTAGAACATCAACTTTAGCATGAGAGTCAACTAGAACATCAACTTTAGCATGAGAGTCAACTAGAACATCAACTTTAGCATGAGAGTCAACTAGAACATCAACTTTAGCATGAGAGTCAACTAGAACATCAACTTTAGCATGAGAGTCAACTATAACATCAACTTTAGCATGAGTCAACTAGAACATCAACTTTAGCATGAGAGTCAACTAGAACATCAACTTTAGCATGAGAGTCAACTAGAACATCAACTTTAGCATGAGAGTCAACTAGGACATCAACTTTAGCATGAGAGTCAACTAGGACATCAACTTTAGCATGAGTCAACTAGGACCACTAGGACATCAAGGCATGACACAAGAGTCTAATAAAGTCCGTAAAATCTAATGTCAAATATGTCAAACGTTTAACTCCACCAACAACCAAACATTAGCACTATATTTAAATCTTCACAGACATCAAACAGAATTAAAAACAAAAAAAGTATGCGCCTCTGACAAACATCGCATAGTTCTTTAACGTTTCAACCTGCGTCGAAAAAGTTCACTCAAATCGACTCTGAAGTTTTTGTTCATGACGATGTAGACGACGAAATCGCTGGAGCAATTGATGCAGCCGATGATGTTGGAAACCTGGCTGACGATAAGCGCCACGTTTGTTGGTTGTTTGTCCCCCAGCGTGTACCATGCGTATATATCCGGCTTGAACACTGCAAGAGAGGCGTACGCAGAGGTGGTGACATACACGCAGCACACTGCAAGGAGAATCTTCGTCGTCTTTTTGCTGAAACTGGCGTTTGCGCTTAAAGATTTGCGCTTAACGGAAACGATTTTCAGCTTGATGAATATGACAATGCAGCCAAATGCTGTGCACAGAGGGGGTATCACTAAACTGGTGTAGCTAAACAGCGTCTGGACAACATCCACAGCAACCAAGTTTCCAGAAAACAAGGCCGAATCTTTTAATAGTCCGACAGATCTGTTTAAACGTGCATCCCAGATGTATTCGATGTCTAGCCAGAAGCTAGTGTAGATGAAAATACTGTTCCAGTAAAGCATTACCGTGATCAGTACCATGCACGTTCTTTTAGGCGTGACGATTCGATGAAACGACATCGGCAAAAATATGACAATCAATCTCTCAATTGTGATCAACATCGGTACTGAAAATGCCATCAATCCGAAGGAGTAATCAAAGAAGGTGAATATAGAGAGAAAAATAAACAACAGATAAGTATCGTATTCAGAAAACCCATCGTAGCTTAAGTGTCCAGTTGCGATATATAAGACTTTAGGTACACTATTGTAGGCGATGAGGTACATTGTATTACAGAACGCTAGACTGATAAGGAGAATGTTCGATGACTTGTGGATGCCGTTTTTAACCAAGATGATTATACTTAGTGTGTTCCCTATCACGCCGAACAAAGCGATGACTGGAGTAACAACGTACATCAGAAGTTTTAGAATGATATCAGCCAGTTCATCGCTAATTACATCGTCGCTTACATCAGCCTCTTCTGTAATAATTGATGTCAGGTTTTCAATTTCTTCCATAATTCTAAGACGATAAAAAAACACATTCGGTAAATCACCATTTAGACACAATAAACATAATGAATTGCTCCACAACTGATATTTAGTTTTTACAAGATATTTTGAAATCAGTCTAAAGATTTTTAATTAAAACGCGTTTTTTATATAGTGCCGTAAACATACTTTAGAATTTACCTTGACTTTTTTTGCTCACTGTTTAATGAATGTGTTTGGTTTTTTCTTTATTAGATCTAATTCTTATACGTATTTTAGGGATAAAATAGTTACAATAAATATTGTTTTACACGTGAGAATTGCAACTGCCGTACTCATCATTTTTGTAAGCGGGTTATGGGTCTACAAAGAAGACTCAATGGTTTCAGCTGTATTTGCAGACCCCAATAACAAATTATTTTACAGACTACAGCTAATTACGACAAAATCCATCATTCTGCATCTCAAAATGTATCCACAAAAAGCAACGTATAAGTGTAAAATCCCACACGTAATATCGTGAAGCATTATCAACCGATATTCTAGATATATTAATTTGGTACACCGGCAAGGGCCGGACAATAGGGCTGGTAAGTAGTTCACTGAACAGTTCTATAACCGCTTGAGAATGACCTGATCTCTATGTTTACTAGAATAAGACCACCTGCAGTAATCGTGTTCGGATAATGGGGCTCAATTTACGTCCGAATTTTCAATACGGCTTTGATGTTAATAGGGATTAAAAGTGTTCATTTCCCAGCAGTGGCGTAGCCAGGAATTGGTCGTGGGAGGGGTTCAAGCATTTTTCCATATGTACACAATCCTATATATATATATATATATATATATATATATATATATATATATATATATATATATATATATGGGTCAATGGGAGGTGTTATAACCCCCCCCCCCCCCAACCCACCCCCCACGCCACTGTTTCCCAGCATACCACGCCATGATCGGAAATGTAGGATGGCACTTTCAATGATATGACGATGAATGGTACAGCATACACGCGAGAAGACTGGGAGACTGGCACTGTTTTACACCCATATCTCTATAAGTCTTAAGGGAAGCCTCTAACAAAATCACAGGCTAGTTGGAGGACCTAGGGCCACACAGAGGTCCATTTTACAGGTGAAGTACCGGACAGTTAGACCGGGCTGGCATATGATTCCCTACTTGGCTTAACACAGAAATAGGGCTGGTAAGTAGGTCACCAACCAGTTCTACGGCTCAATAAAACCTGCATGAGCCATAGAACTGGTTGGTGACCTACTTACCAGCCCTATTACAGTCAGCTTCTAGATGCGCTAAGAGAAAGACAGAAAGACAGATAAATATAAAGATGAACATGATATACCAATAAACATAAAAGACATTAGAATAGGCGAGCATGTGTTAGAGTTATAACTGATGAACAGATTAAAACTTACATGGACAGGGCCTTATGAGGTTGTTGATGAGACATGAGACCTGGACTATGGTGTTAGGATGAGTGAGAGGACTACGTTCTACCATGTAAACCGAATAATACTGTACCACCGCAGGTCTAATACTGATAAGCTTAGAACAATTTCAATGGTAGCGGCCATATAATAAGTTACAACACGCTACCTACATCAGGGGCGTAGCGGGGGGGGGGGGGGGGTGCGGACCGCACCGGGTGATACCATTTAGGGGGGTGACACCAAGGCAAAAAATAGCAAAATAGAGAAAAACTTGAAGGGGGGGTGCAAATCGAAAACTTGAAAGTTTGTCCCCGGAAAGGGTCGCTACGCCTCTGGGGGGTGACACCATTAAGTGCCGCAGCGGGTGACACCCGTCCTCGCTACGCCACTGACCTACATTACGCGTTTCATGAATGTAATGATTCAAAGGGGTAAAACAAACGCAGCGAAATACAAAAATGAATTCAATAAAGTTAAACTTTTTAGGATGAAATTCACGCGCAGCGAGTACAGATGCTTTTAATCATAAGTCTGCATTGAGCTAAAACATCAAAGAAAACTACTCTTCACTTACTGCGGACTTTGTGGTTTGGGCCGGGCCAACCACAAACAATGTACGCCCGCTAACGTAAGGTTGATCTCTCTTTCCTCGGTAGCAAACAAATACATCTTAAACGTCCCCCTGCGAAAAAAAAATGTGTGCGCCCGTTTCTCGTTTTTCAACATCTCACACTTTCGCTTCATTTTGAAGATAATTGATCCGATACCTATCGTCTGTGAAACACACTTTGAGCCAATTTCGTATTGCTTATAGTCGACAGAGTCAAGTGGTCTCACCTAGACAATTTACTACTCAAGAAGAAATCTACAACAAGCAGGCTTCACATCCGCCTTGTGTTAGAGCCACGTTTAAGATTTTACGCTACAGCTCAGTGTGAAAATCGTGGGTGAGTTTCCTGAGCAAAAAATACGATAATTATAAAGGGAGTTTATTTACTGACTAAAACCTTACAATATTTGCAGGATTCAGTAATGGCTTGAAGCTCAGCATGATACTTTTAGCAGAGAACGACTAGCTTTATATAGAGAAGATTTGAGGGTTTTTTTTTGTTGCTGAATTATTTCTAAAATACAAAATAGCATTGTGTGCCGTAAGCGTAATTATTTATGTTTTTTTTTACTTTAATTATTTTAGTAATTTGTACTGATGAAATAAGTGTATCTGATTCTGAATAAAAAATTCAAAGTCATTTACTTCATCCAAGATTCTAAGGGCATTTAATTTAAGCGCTACGTGCAGATATCGACCAGGAACGAATTTAATTTGTACACAGAAAAGTATCAGAGTTTGTAGTTTGAAAATAAATGGTAGCGTCAATCGGAAGCGTCGCTTATTAAGGGTAAGAAGCGTTTGACTGACAAGAGCAGGCGGAGAAAAACATTAAAATCAATAAATCAATAACGTGGTAAATATAGCCTGGAGCTCTATTCCCGTCCAAAGACATTACAATAATTGCTTCTTTTTACGATTTACAGATATTTGAGATATTTGAAATCAAATATGTATGTTTAAGTTTCAAAATTGTTGGATTTATTAAATTTCCAGCACGCGGTAAAATTGTGAATAAAATGTAGATAACAAGATGCCTCAGGATGTATACTAGAATGTAATGTCTACCAAATCTAGTTAAATTAAAAAAACATTCTAGTTTTATTCAATATTTACAATTAAATTGATGGTGGTTATAGTTTTAAAACACTACAGCTAAAATTGTTTTGAAAACCAACGATACTTAAGATCTATTTAGTTTCCATAAAGATATAGTACTAAATAGTTCATATAGTTCAATTTATATTTAGAAACGTGGGTGTATTTCAATTGGCAGAAACTATGTTACCATGTAAGCAGGCGTTCTTTGTTTGTTGCGACTGCCTAACGTCTTACTAAGTAGTTTGTAGATCCTCATTAGATAATAGAAAATTATATCACCTTTCATTAAACTTACTATACAGCCTGATAGAAATTTAGAATTAATGAACCAATACTGCATTTGAAGTGAATTATATTTAGCACTTACTTTTTAGACAGAATTTCTGCTACAAATAACTTTTCATTTTTTTTTTTTTTTCACTACTCATAAGCATTGGTTGAATAAACGCGTATAACTGGATTATGGACACTAAACTTCAGAGTTGTTTAAAATGAATATGTAACAAGCAATTCACTCAAGAAAAAAAAAATACGGTTTTTACTCATTTCAACAAGTCATTTAATTGTATACTTAAAACACAAAATCAAGGTGTCGATTTTCTCAGTGCTAATCTTTTAATCTTTTAAATAATATAATATTATTAAAGGTAGTCTTTTAAGAGAGCTAAAAACTGTTATTTGCACAGCAAATAAATAAAAGCTCGAAAACTTCCTCGTATATTCTTAATTAATAGAATCTTTTATGGCTATTTCAGTGCAAGTGGTTTATAAAAACGTGTATTATAAAATGTTTTTAATGCTTAAATTTTTTTAAAATAGGAAAAGATCAAGTAGTAAAAGAATGGCGAAACCGATGAACATAAAGAATATATAACTAAGCGGAAAATAAGTATTTTGAAAAGAAAAATTTGATAATGATTCTTTTATTAAATAAATTACACATCTAATTAACTCACAACTTTAAAACAATCCTGTAATAACGATATATATATATATATATATATATATATATATATATATATATATATATATATAGATAGATATATATATATATACATATATATATATATAAATAAATGTCTGTTTGTGTGTCTCTACAGCAGATACAGAAGTAAAGCGATCACGTAGATCCCAACAGATCCGGGTGTCGGTCCTGGGTTTGAACCCCCCGATGATTCCCCCGCGGGGAGCGGGCATACCAACGGTTCGCCTTTTGTCGCCGGCGCCGTGTCGTCCCTTGAGATCAAGTTCTGTTTGATACGGATCTGGGTGGCGGCGAGGGGGTCGCCCAATCCAACTTTGTCTATCAGCGCACAGAGACCCTCAGACACTATGTCTTCAAGCTTAATGTCCAGGCTTCCAGAGTCGAACAGAAGAAACACGTAGTGGTGCGGTTCCATGAGTGGCAGCGGGGGTGAGTAAAAACCTAAGAACAATATATGTATTGCTTTATGTTTACGTATTAGGCTTGGACGTGAATGAATGCATTGTCGGATGCATGCAGTGACGTAGCGACCTCTCCCGATGCCGGGGACAAACTTTCAATTTGGCAGCACCCCCCCACCCCCATATATTTTTTTAATATTTATAATTCAAAATAGCAGCTAAAATGAGCTTATTTTGGAGCACCTAGGGTCGGCGCGCGGGGACAGATTAACCCCCCCCCCCGTCGCTTCGCCTCTGAATGCATGTGTGTGTGTGTTTATGTATGTGAAGCAGACATATATTACGACAGTAACGTATGGTATTAATGCATTCACTGCAAGAATTAAACATGACAGTTTGCATCAATCATACGAAACAAATTCACAGGATTAAAATGTTTTTTGATTGATGCAGTTTATTTTGATCAACATTTCTTATTTATAAATACAATTACTTATTCAGTCTACGTAACAAAAGCAACTGGGTGGCATTTTTTTTTAGGGACGGGGGGGGGGGGGGGGGGCTGGAACGGATTATTGGCCTTTCATTATAATTTCAGTTTCGAAAATCGCATTTAGATACGATTTGACATCAGAGCAATGTTAGGGAACGATTAAATTCGTATTTCTAGGTACAGTGTATATATATATATATATATATATATATATATATATATATATATATATATATATATATATATATATATATATATATATGTATATATATATATGTATATATATATATATATATATATATATATATATATATATATATATATATATATATATATATATATATATATATCATATATCTATATAGTATAAGTAATTAAATTGTTGGAAGAAATAATTTAAAAAACTAACCAGAATCTTGTCCACTGTACACTAGTTCGCATGATCTATTCACCTAGATGTGTTTTGAATCAACAAAGGGAATAATATTTTTGTTTAATCACAGTTGTTTCTTAAAGTATCTACACTATTGTTATTAATGCTAACTGCATGTTTATAAGCAGATGGATTAAGTGATAGACTTGTATAGACTCCAACGTTTGCTCAGTAATGTTTAGAGGGACTGTGTGGATTACTAAGCTGAACGTCTCGAGTTCGGTTCCTACGGGCACAAAGAAAAGGGAGACTGGTCGTAGTGTTTTTTAACAAAATATAGATTTTTGAAATATTAATTTGATTTCATAGGCCAAGTTAAAACTTAAAGCAAACTGTACATTTAGTTCTCCGAATAAAAAATGATATTGAGTGCTTAAAGTTAAAATTTAAGTTGATTTTGAAACCTGACGGTCTATGGGGCAAGTGAGCGCTTACCGTGGGATGATCAAGCAGGTGAATCCTACTTCCTGCGTCTCGATCTAACATGACAATAAAAGCTTTCTGTGGTGTCTGAAAACAAAACATTGATTGTAATGTATGATACAATGTTGTCGGCTTCTGATATACTATACAACGTAATTTACTGTAACCCTCACTCAGTGGGAAAGCTTTTACCCACTGAGGTGTTGTGGTTAAGACGGGCTGACCCTGAGATTTAGGACACACTGACACCGACAGTTGTTGTCAAGTACTGGATTTATTCACGGCATCGAGCCATGACGGCGATGCATAACACAGTAGTACGACGATTACAGATGAATACCGAACGAACAGGAAAACCAAAAAGAAAACAGAGACGACTGTAAACCTAAAACAAATGTAAAGAAAAAGTTGCATTCATAACACCACGTGTAGGCTACAACATACACGGGTAAAATAAAATATGTTTCGGCCAGTACACAGTACTGCCAACAAGTACCAATAAGTAGTACAATAATAAATACTTAAATAAATACTCAACCTAACTAGTGTGCACATACAACACTAGCAGGAATACACAAATAAGAATTCTAACAATAAACATAATTTATATACCCACACTACCTTCATTAGGTCTACATCTTGGTACCGTCACCGTGTCCACAGACTGCAGCCTTGCGTGTGACTGACACGGCTAGGCATGAAACTACCCATAGTCCCATTGTGACATGGGACACAGGTAAAATCACTCACAAGAGCATGCAACACAACTACATCAACAGGGCTACGGCCACACAGGGGCCGCAACTCAATGAATTAAAACTTTATTTGTTATCCCCCCTTGGCTGGTAACCATATGAGCCATATGTGTTTTTAATATTCATTTCTTGTGTTTTTCTTCTTATGTGGTCTCTCTGGTGATTAACCCTTTATCTACTGACGGTACTTTTAAGTACCACTTTAATTAAGCGCCTGTATTATTTTTAATTTAAGACGAATTTTAAAAATTATTGGTAATTGATAGTATTATCTCCCTTGAGTCGCAGGTAGGTGGAGGGAGCGATGTTTTTTGAAAATTACTTGTGTGGCGCCATTTTCAATCTCTACCTGTATCGATAGTTCACAATTGTTCTGTACATATCTCACATGTGTTCCTGATTTCCCTTTGTTTTAGCTTATTCTTCACGTTTTCAACCCCGAATATTTTTTATTGGCATCCTCAATAGTCAGGTCAATGTATTTAGCTTCTAGTTATACAATTTTTATCAAATTGTCTTTGTAATAGATCGATGTTTACAAGTGGACTTATAAGTACCGTCAGGGCACACTGACATTTTTTAGGATTTCTTGGAAATTGCTAATTTTCGATGTGGAGTGACATAAATATTATTTTGATAATTAATTATCGAAATGTACTTAAAAAAAATATATTTATGCATTTATAAGAAGGTTAGCATATGGTTTTCCTCAGAAATATTGTAATTAATTGCAGATTTCTAGTAGTAAAAGAATAACAAGAATAGAGGTGGCATTTGCAGGCTCGTTTACTAGGTTTAGTATACGTTATTTGTATACCAAAGTCTAGTTCTAGAAGTAAGATTTGTAAGTTATATTAGTTGCAAAAAATGTCTTGCATACAATAGCTAGCGTGTACGTAATTTATACATGTAGACTAGTAATAGTCCATACATCTGCATGTAGTATAGATCGTTTTGTAATTTTGAATCAGTAAACACAAAACAGTAGGCCACTACGGCTCTTCCATTCACATTGAGCTCACTTCTATTTATGAACTTTACACTGTAGTGAAGACTTTTCATAACATTCTAGTGGGCTACAATTATACTAGTATTACTAGTAGTAGTGTACTGAATGACTAGGATTTCGTTTTCAAATATATTTTGTCTATACGGCTCATTGTAAAATCTATTGGAAGCCTCCAGCAAAAGCAGATTCAGTCCGGCAACTGTTGCCACACCAGAAAGACGACAGACAAGAATGTCTCAGGAATGAGGAATAAGGGAGCAAGCCATGTCGGCACCTTTTGCTTTGTTTGATGTCTAAGATGTGTTCCGATAGAAAATCCAGTAAAAATCATACTCAAAATATACTTGTGTGCTAGGTTTATGTGTCAAAATTACAAAAAAATTATTGTTATAATGATTGCCATGATATTATTTAATAAGTTGTGTCGATTTTTCCTGTTTTGTAAATTTTTTAATTTTTGGAGAAAAAAGTCCTACATTCCTGACGGTACTTATAAGTACCAATACATGTTTGGCCCCTTAAAAATTTATGAAACTAAATTTCCTTCGACATATGCTTTAAATGTGCCAAAAGCAATATGATAACACATTGTTTAAGAAAATATGTCATTCGGAACCTAATTCCGTAAATAAAGGGTTAAAGTAGATTGTTGGACAAAATATGCAGGAGCCTTAGTCAGGAGGATGGTACATGAGAGATGGTAAAATAATGGGGACAGTTGGAGAAATAGCAAATGGGAGATGGTAAAATGATGGAGACAGTTTGAGAAATAGCACATGGAAGATGGTACAATGATGGGGATAATTGGAGAAAATAGCACATAGAAGATGGTAAAATAATGGAGACAGTTGGAGAAATAGCACATAGAAGATGGTACAATGATGGAGACAGTTGGAGAAATAGCACATGGAAGATGGTACAATGATGGAAACAGTTGGAGAAATAGCACATGGAAGATGGTACAATGATGGAGACAGTTGGAGAAATAGCACATGGAAGATGGTACAATGATGGGGACAGTTGGAGAAATAGCACATGGAAGATGGTACAATGATGGGGACAGTTGGAGAAATAGCACATGGAAGATGGTACAATGATGGGGACAGTTGGAGAAATAGCACATGGAAGATGTTACAATGATGGAGACAGTTGGAGAAATAGCACATGGAAGATGGTACAATGATGGAGACAGTTGGAGAAATAGCACATGGAAGATGGTACAATGATGGGGACAGTTGGAGAAATAGCACATGGAAGATGATACAATGATGGGGATAATTGGAGAAAATAGCACATGGAAGATGGTACAATAATGGAAACAGTTGGAGAAATAGCGCATGGAAGATGGTAAAATGATGGGGACAGTTGGAGAAATAGCACATGGAAGATGGTACAATGATGGGGACAGTTGGAGAAATAGCACATGGAAGATGGTACAATGATGGGGATAATTGGAGAAAATAGCACATGGAAGATGGTACAATGATGGGGACAGTTGGAGAAATAGCACATGGAAGATGGTACAATGATGGGGATAATTGGAGAAAATAGCACATGGAAGATGGTACAATGATGGGGATACCATTGTAGACAGTTAAATCAACTAGCTCGAGAGAGAAGGTACCGATGGGGTGAGATCGGTTTTCTTGGCATGGGATTTTATTGAACTAGACACGTCGCTAGAAACTCATTTACCTGTATGGGTGGTGCTTAAAAATAGATTTTGAAATGAGAAAAGTTAAGAAATAATGAAACTAAAGGCATCACTTTAAACCGCATGATGTGTTACCAACAACTATATACTTACTTTGGTAATAGCAGCTTTTATCCGGGGCCGTGTGTCAAAGGCACCTTGCAATCCTCGTGTGTAGTCACCGTCGCATGTTGTGATGCCAATCGGCTCGGGGTAAATGACCTGTAGGTTACACGGCTGAGGAGGCTGCACCTTCAGACAGTCCAAATTAGCCGGCTCGCTGGTTACATACTCCAGGAGCGTCACAAGAATGACCAATAGGATCATCTTGCTGGAATCCTGAGATGATGGTTGAAGTATCAGAACATTATTTCTCTTTAACATTAGACCTGGTTACAATAAGCAGTTTTTACGGTATAAATTGTGTTACTTGAAGTTCAAGTTATTATACTTACACTAACACGCAGAAAATTGAAAAATAATTTTCAATAAACATATAAATAAATTAAAACATATATTTAGTACCCAGTACCCAGTTCGACACTATAGTTTCAAGTACATTATAGATCTGTTTGTTTTGTCTGTGCGTCTGCACTAAAAACAACTTTCGTGCAACATGGTGCAAATCATATACATGCTTAAATGCTAGTGCGAACTGAGATTATAATGTTAATATCCGATTACTCTTTGACGACAGAGTTTCTTCCATGCATCTCTTCGGGGTCTACCCCCCCCCCCCCCACCCGAACGAGATGGAATTTATATAGTAAATATATTCTTTTACTAGTGTCCGCCCCCCCCCCCGGAAAATGTTGACCCCCCCCCCCCTCGAATATATCAAGTGCCCCCCCCCCCACCCAAAGAAAAAAGTCTGGAAGAAACACTGTTTGGCGATCTTTGTTTTCTAATCATTGCTGCCAATAGGCCTATTTGTGTAATCCAAATTATACCCATTATCATTCCTAGAATTCCTAAGGGGTCATCCATAAATGACGTTACGCTTTTTTTTGACGATTTTTACCCCCCCCCCCTCCCCTCCGTCACACGTCGTCACAAAAAGGCAGACCCCCCCCCCCCCCTAAAATGATATCACACCTCAATCTACAACCCCCCTCAAAATTGCAGTTGAATTTTATTTAAACATCGATATTTTTCCAAAATCTTGTCTAAACTATTACAATTTATTAAAACAGTTATCTAAAACGCGAAATATTGTCTAAAATTCGTTCTCTAACATTGCTTTTTTAGAATGCAAAAATGTGACGTCGCAACATCTGAACCCCCCCCCCCCCCTCCCCCTCATCACACATCGTCACAAAATTACGGACGCCCCCTCCCCCCTACGAGTGTGACGTCATTTATGGATAACCCCTAAGGCTATACCGGCAAGGTCGATATATGATGTATCATGACGCATGGGTATCTTGACTAGCGATCTCTACATTTGACGCCATAGAACACGCCCTGAAGAAGAAACGCTGGTGATGCATCAGAGCCGCTAAAACCATGGAGGCATTAGTCACGGGTTATTGTATTGTCTCCCGTGGCAAAAGGAGACATTCATACATACATACCAATTGTCGTAAACTGAAGCCGTTACGCTAAATACGATGTATCGTTTCTGCTCAACTTTAAGCTAACAGTGATGCTAGGACAAATTATAAATGAGAAGATAATAAATAATCATAACCTTTTTGCTGACTCACTTCTGTGTTTTCTAACATTTCTTTTTTATAATGCAAAAGTGTGACGTCGCACCATCTGAACCCCCCCCCCCTCCCCCTCATCACACACCGTCACAAAATTACGGATCCCCCTCCCCCCTACGAATGTGACGTCATTTATGGACGACCCCATTATTTAAGCATCTATCCATTTATTGTTTTCACTAAATTACAAGATGTTCACTTCTCTTTTTGCCTGTCCCACTTCTCTTCACCAAAGAAGCACCATTGTTCCATATCTCGCCAGCATGATGACTTTTAAATTGTGTGTTGTTTACGGCTACAATTTCTACCAAGAGTCTTCACGACTATGTCAGATCTTGAACGATACCTTATTTTAGTGACTGGAAAAGTTTGGAATTATTCTAGGCAGACAACTGAAAAAAACCAACTCATTTTTTAAGGGGTACTATCGGTGTCCAACTTCACACCTCTCTCCTCAATAAAGGCCTATATATATAGGCTTATAATAAAAGTGTATTTTAAATTTTAATATAAACACTTTGCTCAATCATAACAAAGAAATTTAAAAAAGAAATGTTAGGACATTCTTTACGTAGCGTTTAAAGTTTAAACATATTGACTAGCTTTCGACTATTATAAGAATAGAAAGGGATGTTTCATTAGTATAAAGCTATGGATATTTTGAATACGCATATTTTAAGAAATTATGCATGTTAAGTAATGTTAGTATTTATTATTTTGCAATATTTGTTATGATATGTAACATAAATTATAGATTTTAGAATGGAATTAACTTTTTGTAAATAGATCTAAACGTCTATTCTCAACATTTAGATCTCCCCTGATAAAATAATGAATTGAAAACGAAAGTAGGGTAGGCCTAGTTTACAGCATTTGTTGTGGGCATTGGGTTGCCGCTGTAAACAACCGTTCGTGTCCGTAACACGCGGAAAGAATTTAAAATACATTTCACTTCAAAATAACGATTACTTTATAATACTTGTATCCTAGGCCTTCTATTGATTATCGAACGATGTCAAATTCATATATCACACACGTAATCTTTGACGTAGATGGCTTAATTCTTGGTAGGTGTGGTTGGTAGATCTACTTAAAAAAAAAAGAAAAAGGTTTCTTGAACTTTGATCGGTATGAACTACGGCTACCTACGGTAGTTCACGGTTACTGAAATATCGATATGGACTCTAGACTACTAGATCTAGAGATCTAGATCTAGAAATCTAGTCTATATCAGTATATCTAGAGTATTCTAGAGTCTAGAATAAATCCATCGGTAATCTATCGTTTTAGGACATTTTATTTTTAGGTACGTAAAATCGCCCGCGACTTGTAATGTGAAAAACAGGTGACTCCTTAAATTTTAATAATCATTTCACATTTTGAGGAGGATTTGTTTTTTAAAATACAAAAATGTTTCCTTGTTTCATTGGTAATAAAACAGATAGTATTAGTTACCTCACAAGTTAAAGACAGTTACAAGTACTAGACGTTTCGACCCAAGGTCTTCGTCATTGTAAAATTGTAACTATTTAGTTAGGCCTATTTTAAAATTTTAATCTATCTGTAAAAAATCAGATTAGGTTCTTTCTAAATCTTGACATCCAGATTAACCTTAACTTAACAAAATTTGCCCCTTGTGTCAAGCATTGTTTTTCTTAAATATTTGTAATACTTCAGACACAGAACGGGTCTACACAGAATGTCTAGAAGAAATCTGTGGTGAGTTTGGCAAAACATTTACATGGGACCTCAAAGCAAAGCAAATGGGAATGAAAGAACGGGACTCTGCACAATTATGCATTGGTAAGTTTTTTTATAATTCATATATCTGATATGAATCGGTTAGTTGTTTATCATTCATCTAGATGTGTAGGCCTATACACATGTTAATAATAATTACCTTTAATCAAATCCAACATCACATCATGGTTAACATTGATCTTATTATAAATCCACTTTACTGTTAATAGCAAATTAGTGCTTCACTAATACTACTAATAATATGGTCCTTGAGTGTAAAAATGTTATGCAACTTAAATGGATTAGAACATTGATATTCTTCTCAGTTCATTTACTTTAAAAAAATCTTATTTGCTCATAAGGTGAACCCCACCCCTGAACTTCTTTATGCCTAAAAGTGGAATGGTTCTATCATTTTTTACCACTACCTTAACCAACTTCCTAACAACCAAGATTTCAAAAATAAATCTCATTAACTTATTCCTTTGTGGCCACTGAGGAGCAAAGGGTTGCAACCACACATCTACATCAGAAGGTTTTTTAGCAGCTCTCTTTATTTGCACCCATATAAGCCCTTCAGCCTTTACCTCATCTTCTACAGTCCTCCTCCAGGTTTTCCTTGGCCTAGAAATGTGTTGGCTTAAAATTTTACTTAATAATAGCTTTGTTGCTGATAGAAATATTTGCTTTTCATTCTAGATACATTACAGCTACCATTGTCTGCTGATGAATATCTGCTCAAGTTAAAAGAGAAACTGGCCCAGAAACTGCCTACTGCCCAGGTCCTGCCAGGTAAGTCCAACAGTAGGGTATATGAATTATGGTACCATTTGATTCAAGCTGTAGGGTATATGAATTATGGTACCATTTGATTCAAGCAGTAGGGTATATGAATTATGGTACCATTTGATTCAAGCTGTAGGGTATATGAATTATGGTACCAGTTGATTCAAGCAGTAGGGTATATGAATTATGGTACCACTTGATTCAAGCAGTAGGGTATATGAATTATGGTACCATTTGATTCAAGCAGTAGGGTATATGAATTATAGTACCATTTGATTCAAGCAGTAGGGTATATGAATTATGGTACCAGTTGATTCAAGCAGTAGGGTATATGAATTATGGTACCAGTTGATTCAAGCAGTAGGGTATATGAATTATGGCACCATTTGATTCAAGCAGTAGGGTATATAAATTATGGTACCATTTGATTCAAGCAGTAGGGTATATGAATTATGGTACCAGTTGATTCAAGCAGTAGGGTATATGAATTATGGTACCAGGTAAGTGAAGCAGTCGGGTATATGAATTATGGTACCAGTTGATTCAAGCAGTAGGGTATATGAATTATGGTACCATGTAAGTCCAGCAGTAGGGTATATGAATTATGGTACCAGTTGATTCAAGCAGTAGGGTATATGAATTATGGTACCAGTTGATTCAAGCAGTAGGGTATATGAATTATGGTACCACTTGATTCAAGCAGTAGGGTATATGAATTATGGTACCATTTGATTCAAGCAGTAGGATATATGAATTATGGTATCATTTGATTCAAGCAGTAGGGTACATGAATTATGGTACCAGTTGATTCAAGCAGCATTAGGTGAGTCTAAGGGTACCAGTACATCACTAAAATAATTTTCTACCAATGATTTTTTTTTTTGCCTAAAGAAAATAGTTGAATCGAAAAGTGATGTGCAACATCAGAATCACTAAAAAATAAATTTAAAGTCATTCACAGACTATAAAATAGTTTTTTTTTAAATTTTCAATTAACACATTTTTTTTCAGCAGGTTTTAAGTGAATTTAACTTTAACTTGTTATATTGGTCTGAAAACCAATAGTAAGCCAGTAGCATTCAACTTTTCATTTTTTTTCACCCTGCCTAGGTGCCAAGAAATTAATACACCATCTCCACTCTCACAAGATACCAATAGCTGTGGCCACCGGGACAGACAGCTGGGGCTTTGCGCAGAGAGTAGCAGGTCACAAGGAGCTGTTTGATTTGTTCCACCATTGTGTTCTTAGCAGCAGTGACCCAGATGTGAAGAGAGGCAAACCTGCACCAGATTGTTTTCTGGTTTGTGCTGACAGATTTGATGAGAAGCCTCAGCTAGATCAGGTTTGTGTGCTTTAGAAGTTGGTTAAGATAATTGAAAACATGAAAATAGAGACCCAGCCCAGAGTATGGCCTTTGTAAACAAATAAGCTGAGGAGTATGTAAGGTTAAACGTACTGCTTACAATTTGTGCTAAGCCAAAGTTATACAATTCTCATTTTTTCCCACGTTTTCTTTAACTTGCTTTCTCTGTTTGTTTGTTTGTTTTTCCAATCAAATCTTGCGATCGAAATTTCTGGCACTTCCCAGTTAGCTAGCGCGCTGATATTTTCAGGGAAGCTTTCTTTTGGATGACCATAGAATATTCAATTGTTATTATTACTAAATTGATCAATGGAAACATTTTATTGAGCATTTTAGACCGCTATATAATCTATATATATAATTCTCCTCTGCGAGCCATTATAAAAAAAACCAGCGACGCGTAGCTCGCCTCTCTCTTGCCGCGCGCAGTGACGCGAAACGATCCCACGTCGCGACAGGCTTAGGGGCAGATAATTTAGTTTGAACCGACTTTAAACTTACAGGAGGTAACTATTACCACTGGTGGCCAGTTTGGGGGAGACGATATGGTCGAGTGGTTGGGCACACGATTGCTATCCCACTCGACACGGGTTCAAATCTATGTGTTCTAGTCAGTAACCAGCCCTCGTCCTAACCGCTATCAACTAACCTCTGACAATCATTCACTTGCGATTGAGACCGAAGAAGAAAGGGTCTCTCGTTTTTTACGAGTTGTCTTTTTACGAGTTGCCTTCGTTTACCCAAAAAAAGTGAAAAGATAAAATCGATAGCAAGATTTCAATGCAAACAAACAGACAAAGACTAAAAAGTAGAAAATAATAATCATTAAAAAAGTTTTAAAAAACCCATGTTTTCTGATTGAACTAAAAAGTAGAAAATAAATACTATACATCACAATAATGCAAGCGATCACTCTACTATAAGCGATGAAAAACGTGGGGCGCCGTGATTTTCTTACAGTTTCTAATACTGTTGACTCTCTACAAGCTCCCTAATAAAAGTCAATAGTATTATCTAATCAATAGTAATATAACTTTTACTTCGGCGCCCCACATTTTTCATCGCTTATAGTAGAGTGATCGCTTGCATTATTGTGATGTATAGTATTTATTTTCTACTTTTTAGTTCAATCAGAAAACATGGGTTTTTTTAAACTTTTTTAATGATTATTATTTTAGAGAAATTTTTTTAGAATAAATGCCACCTTTGATTTTTAGGAAATTGCTCACAAGTTGATATAAACCAATGAATAGGATACTATATTGTTGTATACAAAATATTTTCCACCAAACTGAAACAGACCTCTTGTTACCATGTTTAGTGACAACACACATACAGACAAGACCGCAAAACTAATTTTTTCCAACTGAGGGAGGTGTAAAAAATTTTGAAGTTTTAAAGTCTAAATCTCTCATTTCTGCACAATACAATACTTCCACATTTACGAGAAAGTGAAAAATGCAGCTGATATTTAGCTAAACTATATTCTACTTTGTTTTCTAGTTTATTAGATTTTTAAATGATATTCGTTTTTTTTTTTATTTCTAGGATTTATTTCTGTGAATCATTATTATTGCTCCTGAGTAGTTATTGTATAATTCTTGTGACAAATGATCATGAGCAACTTCTGTATGTTAAGTTCTATTGATTGACAACCTGATCCCCAGGTGTTGGTGTTTGAAGATGCTCCTAATGGTGCTGAGGCCGCTGTTGCTGCAGGTATGAAGGTCGTCTGGGTCCCTGACCCTAGGGCTGACAGGTCACAACTTCAAGGTCGTGTTCACCTCATTTTAGATTCATTAGAACAGTTCAAGCCAGAGGACTACCACCTTCCTCCATATGAAAATAGTTGATGACTAAGGAAACAGGCTGTATGAAAACAGTTGAGGAAATGTGAATGAATTTAAGGATGTGAAAAAGTTGTGGATAGTGGAACTAGAATGAATTATGATTACATTTGGAAACAACAGAATCAAAGAAAAAATTATACACCATTACATTTGTAAGAGATCATGTCAACATTAGTGTAATAAATTAATGTAACTTCTACAGTAGCTTGAGCACAGAAATTAGAAATGTATCCGTCGCTATTCTGAGATAAAACTCCTCAAGTATCTGTTGTTTTATATATATTATGATTATCAAATTATAACATGTTTTACACATGTATTCATATTTAAAATTGTGTGGTACTTCTTATTTGGTATAAATGATGTTTTTAATTTATTGTTAGTTTGCATAATCAGTAATTTGGTGGATCACAATTTGATGTTATAATTCCAAAGTTCCTTTAAAAAGGTTATGTCTATTTAAATTTTATTATATTAGCAATCAGAATATTTAGATAAACATAAGCACACCATTACCAATATCATGATCCAATTATACTTTGTTCACTTAGGGTAATTGTCAAAGATTAATTATAATGTTAGAACTTTTATTGTCCATTTTGTTACAAAATGTGTTTTTTTTTATGCAACAGTACTCAGACAATTCTGTCATTAGATTTTATTTTTAACTCTTTAATGATTTGATATTTTATAATAAATTACTACTCCCTTATTTTTTAAAATCAAATTTTAATCAACATTTCACATTAAAATACAGAAAGGTAGTAATACAAGTGAATAAACTTCATATAGCACTCACTCAAAAGCATTGTTAAACTTTCTCAACTTCTATAACTTTCACAATCACCTATCAAACAGTGGAAAAAAAAATTGCACTGTTACAAAGTATAATTACAAAACAACCATTCAATTACTGTGACACCCAGCTGGCAAAATTAAGTTTAACACAACAGCATATTGACAAAAAAGGTATTATAAATGTCATTTAATGACAAAAATATTTTGTCTCCATATAAGACCCGAGCACATAGCTGCTAACAGATCAGAAAGAAACAAGCTCAATATACAAAGAACGAATGAAACAAACACATCATTTCAGTCTTCCATGGGTTTTTTTATTCCGCGAAGCATACACTATCTTTAAGAATATGCACCAAAGATTTAAAAAGGAATTCTATTAAGAAATATTTTTACAACCATCCAAAACTCAGAAAAATAAATTACAATGCATAGTACGCAGTACTTAATCATGGTGTCAAATTGAATAAAGGTATCTTTGAATAAAATAAATCACCATAGCAAACAATAAAGCTACTATCGTGCTACTTGGCTAAGTATAAAAAATAATTTTACAGTAGCTTATTAGCTGAAAGAAAATATGAAATAAAAGCACCACTACAAAAGCATCAGCATCCTGTAATGGATGTTTTTTTTTATTAAACAATAACTTTGGTGTATAGCACTTAGAACTTTGATGGTAAAGTATTATCATGTGACCTATATTGTCTAGGGTCCTTGAATATATTAGTAAGGACAGCCTAGTGAGCCATAATATCAGTAGTGCACAGTAGCTTGACAGCAGAAAATATAAAAAATTACAATTTCTTAATGTCTAAGTGTGGGTACAGAAAAGGTCTGATATTAGCTTCAGAAAGTATGGAAGACCAGTCTGATAAAAATGATTTTTTTTCTATACTGGGCTATCTAAGAAGTCTTTTAAAAAATAAATATCTTTAGAACTACTATTGGTATACCAGTCAGATCTAACAATTTACAAAACTTTAAAGATTAAGTTAACAAACAAAATAAATTTTTTTTTAACTTATATGTAATTATATGAAAAGTGTGTAAATGTTGCATGAACTGAGCCATATCAAAATACTACAGTCAAACAGAAGTAGTGCCTCGTACTAAATTTTGAAATCCACTGCTATATCTCCACTAACTCACACCATGTAATCAGCTTGTATCAACAACTATTTACAGCAAAGGGTTGGTGTCAAATCAAGGCATAGTTCATAAGGTACAGATAAAAAAAACATGATCACTTTCCCGTCCTCTGCACAACCCATTCTTGTTGGCATAAAGGGCATCGGTTGTTCTGTTTTACCCACAAGGACATACAGCAGTTGTGAAATGAGTGATTACATTCGCCCCACACCACTGCAGAGGGAAAAAAAACATTTATATTAAAAAAAAAATTTTTAAAAATGAGCATACGTTAGTATTTCATCAGTGATGTGTAGTTAAATGTACAAAATAAAATAAATTGCCTTCAAAATTGTCATCAATTGGGTAAATAGAACAGCATATAAATTTAAAAAGAATAAATAATTAGACATCTTAGGGTAGGGGGGTGCGTGGTCAGGTCGGTAAAGTATTGCTAAACCAAAAAGACCTAGGTTTGAACCCATGGGCAGATAAGGCTAGATAGCTGGGGACAGCAACCCAATAGGAGAGAACATTCCTAAATCAAACAACCGCTGCCTTGTTTGTTCTTGGGTGGAAAAGACTATGGAAGCAAATCCATAAAGAAAAGCAGGCTGAAATCGGAGTAGACTGCCTATTTGGCGCATAAGAAGTTGGGAGGAAATCCTTACCAACATTACAATCAAGAACAAAGAAAAAGATTTCCAGATTTTCATTGTGTTCAAGATAATTGAATAGATTGAAAGGAATAAAGTAATATCCTGGACTATTTTAATAATGATTATTGAATTCCTTTAATTTGTGTACAGAATGAATTCAAATAAAATTTAAAGTAATCAAATACACATTACACGATAAAAAATTTTTTACCCACACCACTTTTATTAGCCCACTCTGTAACACATTACTGAATTCTTAAGTAAACAATTGTGGTTTGTTATTCATCATGGTGATTGTAACAGTTTAGAGAAAATTTGCTTTTTTTCATAAAAAAATAATAGGAAAGCTTTATTTTGTCTTCAAAGGAAGAATGTGTAATATATTTGTTTTAACTTATTCATCTAAAGTTTCTAATAGCAGAGACTTCACACCAAAAATAAGAGACAAGAAAATGTGTTATACCACCCTGGGTTAAGTAACATGTATAACAATGTGATACATCACTAATAGTACTAATACCCTATATATTTATAACAGCAATAGTGAAATAGGGTGTTATTACACTGTTATTTCAACCCTAAAGGTAGACACAACTACATAATATAATCCTAGAAAAAACTGAGTAGTTTTAGCAGACAGGATCTGAGCCTGCCTTACAATAATGGCACTATTGGCACTGAATCATCGTGCCTGCTGTTCATCAGGTCAGAACTCCAAAATACACCAACGTACTACTGGTCTTCAAAACACAACAATGCACTAAATAAGTTAGTAATACATAGATGGACAATGATACAAATAGTATCATTCATTTTTAAATGGATATATTTATAAGATTAACATGATCAGCTCCAGTTTGCCCCCTCTATGTTAAAAAATATAAGGATCCCATATCAATTATTCTTGTACATTTCTGAATGTTATGGTAAATATATTTAAATAACTCACCAACACAATCATCCTGTTTATTTTCTGATTGGCATCTTAAACACGCATCTGAAAGAAAAATGGATTAAAAAAGGATTATAAAAGCCTGATGTCAACAAATTATACTACAAAAACTATGATACAGTTAATGAGTTTACAAATCTTAACACATGACTAGGACTATAGGTGATATTATCAAATTAATTTTGTCCTAATGAGGTACAGCGGGGGTCTCTTTTTGCTAGAGATTCCAGGGGTCAACTCGAGACGTGTTGCCCAAAGTTTGTATTATTTCTTTTTATTGGGTAAAGATGCTAGAAAAATAAAACCAATACCAATGACCTAGATGTTACAACAAAGCCATCAAAGAAGAATTTTTTTTTTCTTCTTGACTAAGTATTTATTTAGTATTTTAGTAGGCCTATTTCTGCCAATTGAGTATTAGGGGGTTATTAGTCAGACCTAAACAATATTTTCAATAGACCTAGTCCTAATGAAAAACAGAAAATAGCATGACATGATGAAAATCACAAATCAAACTTTAAGTAGGCCTAATGTTAGTATGTATTTCTATTGGACTTCTCTAACAAGACTAGACTAGCCTTAACTATATTTACTTTTTTTTTAAATTTTTAGTCGACTCTGACAATTCTGACTCTGACCTACCAGTTACTTAGTTACTTGAGTCTACTTATTACAATTTATTTTATTAACTTATTATAATCTTACCCATCACTTGGACTCGACATATAGCACACGTATCACATTCAACATCCCAACTCCACATAGCAACTAAGTTCCATTTTTTTAAAGTAAACATTTTGTCTGGTTTAGTAACACCCTCTTTCTCTCCCTGATCGGTTTCCATTTTCTTTGACATAATAAATTCCTATCACAGCTGAGTTTCAGTATTTAGTTTTGATTTCCGGTTGCCAGGACAAACTATGAAACAACTGACCAATTGTGATAATAAATGCCATTAAAAAATAAGTAAGTCAATTTAATTCATTTAATTTATTATAATTAATTAATATGCATAATTTTTGTAATTTTCAATTATATTTTTATGTAAAGAAGAAACTAATAATTTTAATTTTGAAACAATACATCAACAAATATTTCATCTCTATTTAATGCGGCATTTATTAGGCGTATTAAATATAACTTATTTTTTAAATCGTTCCTTCATGAGTAATGTGTTAATCTTTCACAAAGCAAAATAAACTTTAAGAAATAAATTTATTAAAGATGTTATTTCGTATCACTTCGGTCTGGCAGAAATTATAAAGTACTTATTTTTTTAGGGAAAATGCGGTTTATAATGTATGATTAATTTAGTTTTACTAAGTTTTAGTTAACTTAGTTAACCTATAATATATGGCTTATAATTCATTAATGTTTTATTTGTTTAAAGATCGTAAGTAGTTTATTATAGGTCTGCAGGCTGTTGAAGTAAAAGATAAAAGACATTTAAACACACGTAGACTATTCTGTATATATTTAGCTTACATCAGGTGAAAAATCAATTTTATGTCATACGGCATAATAAAGTAGTTTTTTTTTTAAATTTTAGAATAGTAAAATAAAATAAAAAAACAAACAAAATAAAGCCTACAATATACATTAATATAAAATGTCAATGATTCGGGATTTACCAAAGACGTTTTTCTAACACACTGTATGGTACCAGTCGTTTGCTCATTTACATCGGTGCGCAAATTCAGCTACAGATACGTTTTACTACGAGGTTATTGTCTACATCTGGAATATTTACCGACAGGTTTGCTACTGTGCTGTTGCTTTTTGTGTGTTTTTAAAATTTAAATCGATGTTAAAATTAACAAGATATTACACGCATTTACTATAAACGTTTGTAAAATATCAAGGCATTATAGATCTAATATTGACTTTGTGTTAAAAGCACTATATTTACAAAAAGCCGTTAGAATTTATAACGATATTCTACGTAGGCTTCTATACTAGATCTAGATCTAGATCTATAACAATAAGTAGATATTTAGATATAGGGATCTAGATATAGAGACCTAGATAGAAGTCAGACTACTTTGTTACAAAAGTGTTACTTAATCTAGATCTATGTCTACCCTACGCTAGCAACATTGGACCTAAAACCGAGGTAAAATGCAAACACTAACTCTAACCCCTTTCCTGTTGAAGCCATCGTTTCTTTCAGAAATTTTTCTCCTGGAAGACGGGAGTACTTAATATTTTTTTGGGGAGGGGAAGGTGGTGAAATTTTCATTTAATGGATATATACTTGATAATATTTTTTTTGCCCGCTGGCAGAGTTTCTTCCAGGCTTCGCCCCCCCCCCCCCCCGAAATTTTTTTACCGCCCCCCCCCCCCCCCCGAACGAAATCAAATTTATATAATTTATAAAGAAAATATATACTTTTAACAGTGTCCGCCCCTCCCCGAAGAAAGTCTACCGCCCCCCCCCCCCCCCCCGAAAATTTCAAGTGCCCCCCCCCCCCCGGAGAAAAAAGTCTGGAAGAAACACTGCTCGCTGGGAAGTGTGGGTGGGGAGAGGGGGGGGGTTGAAAGAAGCTCAGGTTGTAGCTGCTAGTATTGGGACAAGAACATGTCTAAAACTATACAAAGAGTTATTCAGACTAGATTTTTATGGGAAATACTCTTATAAAAACACTTTACTTAAAAAATGCAAGTCTCGAGTTTGAATCCGGGCTCAAGTCAGTAGACCGTTCCTGAGTCCACCCAACTCTGATGGGTACCTAACTCACGTAGGGTAAGTAAAGGCGGCTGGGCATAATGATGACCACACTATCCCTTCAACAGAAACAAGCGAACTCTACACCACTTGCCCCGTAGACCGTCAGGTTTGAAAGGGAACTTTACTTACTTACATTATAGAGTTTAGTGTAGATTTTGAAGTATTTAGTCGTTCTGATGTGTTTACTAAAGGTCAACATATAACAATAGCTTTTTTTTTTAAACATATAATATAACGTAGAAGTTTTGTCGTGAGGAACATAGGCTATGAATATGTTTATATGGCCGGGACAGTAGCGACAGTTTATTGTAAAAAACGTTGACACAAATAGTTTATCTCTGCTAGTAAATATGTACGTGAATGTCTTCCTAACAGGCAGTATAAGGGACGTGTTTCGGTCATCTTATCCTTCGAGACATGGTGCCACTGTCAGTAAAGTTTGGCTCTTTCTGTAAAATCATGACACATCCTCTTCGCAACTTAGCCTCTTTGTGTTACACCGCGACAAAAATCAAACCATCAGTAAAATCAACCAACAAGTCAAATATCAATAACAACCCGCTTGATATCATTCTCAACGAGCATGCAAACAGTCTCCAAGCACACATCTTCTCTAACTCAAAGTATGGATTTTCCCGATCAATCTCAACCTTCTCCACCTTACACAGCCGGAAAATGGTGCGGGATAAAAATAGAAGCTTGAATTCCCCGAAAACTGGGCGCTTGTCAGCTCGTCCTGCTCACGATAAAATCGCTACGGGGACTTCAAAACGGCATAGAGCTGTACAGAACCCAGAACCTTCCAGGCACTTACTTCGTAGGAGGATAATTGAACCACGTAAAGGACCTAGCACTTTGGATTGCTATTCTATCCTCAATAGCCCGAACCTCAAACCTACCAACGCCACTAGCTGCTTGACATCTAGTTTTGTTCATTTCATCAAGAAAGTTTCTTTCCAACCCAACTACATGAAGAAAGAACACTTAGTCAAGCCGTCGGATTACAGCGCATGCGTGACAAATCTCATTTCTGGGGGCACGTCCAGCGGACAAGGGGAATGGCGGATCAACTTGGCAGCCATCAAACAGAGGCTACAAGAGAAGTTGATGATCAGCCAGCCATATCGTGGTCCGGTCAGCGAACTGTATCTGTTCCATCACCTGGCTAGTTTCAAACCTTGACCATCTGGACAGATCGCAAACCGCAGCGCACATTCGAACGTTTCTTTGTATCGTACACTTTTTTTGCTATTCTTTACACGAACTACAATTACAACATTTTTAAAAATAGAATATTCATCTAGATCATGAATGTGTTGCAACATTTTTATACACTTCTTTATGTCTTCCAGAAAACAACAACAACAACAACAAAACAAAATGGCAATTACATTAGGATAATCAAGGAGAGATCTTCTTCGTTGAGGTACAACATTTCATATGAGGATTGACGTCACATTTTTAGAGGATTCAGGACTCGTCAGTTGAAAAACAAATCATCATAAATTAACATTTTGAAAAATATCTCAAATCAAGTGTCAGAAAACTGAACAATTATTTTAAAAATTAATTACCAAATCTTAACAAACTAAAACGTGAAATTTTGAATTATAGAAAAACCATCGGCGGCTATAAAAAGAAACAAGGGGAATAAACTTAAATAAAGTGATATTGTGATACCGAAGGACGAGATTCAAACTTATTAGATTCAGGCAGCACCACCATAAAACAAGTTTAACCACTGAACTTGCTAGTAAAAGGCTCCACCACCACCATCATAAAATAAGGTTAACCACTGAACTTGGAAGCAGAAGGCACCACCATGACCACCATCGGAGTGATCCAGGACCAATACCACAGGGTCGACGCCCTCAGATTCCCCAGCTACAACTACCACTACCCAGCATTCAGGAAATCACAGATCTCCGTCTGTATCCCACCATCCCCCATTTTCAGAGGCGTTGACGCGGACAGAAAAAGAAGGCAAGTTTTTATTTTTATTTTTTAAATTTTTTAAATTTAAAAATAAATAAATTCCGCCTTAACTACTTCAGATTCTAGACTTTGCTTGAAAACATGCCTTAGCTTGTTATGTATGCCTTAGCTAGTTATGGGAGATAATCCTTTTGTAACATAAATCACTATTTTAGACATCTAGTTTCATGAAAACAAAATGCAATACATTGATATATAAGAAGCTTATGTCTTGGTCTAGCTATGAAAAATAAAATAACATGTGAAGCACACACATATGGTTCTAATAAAGAGGTTTACCCTAGTGTCGTGCTTTGATAGTTTGAAGTCAAGCAAGTTAGGCGAAAGACAGTATCAGTATGTCCAAAAAGGTGTTTATTGTAAGAACACTAAAATTTCAAAATAGCTGTATGTGAATCCAATTTGTGTTAACACATCCTTCAAAAATATTTATGTAATTTTGTCGCATACATTAAATATCACCTGCCCACCTTTATAAAAGTTTTGCGGGCAATAATATTTCAACCCGTGATCCTCAATCTCTTAGTTTGAGAACCCCTGGGTTAATTTAACTTTTTTCCCTATCAGGCTGTGTGAGTGTAAAAAACGACAGGGTGGTCCCAATAGAGCTGAGTTAGAAGCACTGAAAATGGCGGCAGAGATGAAAGAGTCGAAGAAGCCTATATCAGGTTGGCTGTTTTCTTTATATAATGAACAAGGCATGTAACTGTAACCGTTATCTTTTTTTTAAAACTTCCACAGAATCAATCGGTTGCGTATAATAAAATTGGTACGTCTTGACAACAACAATGAACGAACTGAATTTTTTTTGTAATGAAACCCCACATTTCTAATTGAAAATAATTATCGTCAGTTAGAGTTAGGCTTATATTGTTCAAGTTTTTAGGATAGTGTTTCCAAACAGTGTGGTACAACCTCGGAGGTGGGGCGAACTCTCTTCTAAGTGCGGTGACAGGAGGTGAAAAATGTCACATAAATGTACAATCCCAAATGTAAACTTCAGATTCTTAAAATATACTGTCATAAAAAAACTTCGAACTACGTTCCACGTACTTGAATCTTGGAATTCGAACTCGAGACTTTCAGGTTAGTAGTTATATACTCTACCATTAGGCACCACAGTCCTATAAGATTGCAGTGATGGATCGTATACGAAAGGTCGCACACATAGCATATCAATACCCAGCCAGCCAGTACATTTGGTACTCACTGTCTATATCACACATGCTTGCAGGCTCTAAAGATACACCTCTGTTAAAGCTTACTATATGCTGGACCAATGGCGACACTAGGTCGAGTGCCACGGTAACGCAGTGTGTCACTCCATCCACCAAACAATCATATTTATACCTACAGTAACAAAACTGTAAATAATTTGGTGTCATCACCATCCCTTATACGATATGCCTATGCCTATGGTATCGCCCAGTTTCCAAAGGAGTAGATTACAGAAATAAGTAATGAAATAACTAAGAAAATATTTTTTCATTCAAATGAGCTACTTTTTGATTATCTGTCACTCCAGTGGACGTTGACACAACCACGCACATCCCCCCCGCCCCCTCCCCTCCTCCGCAAACCGACTTGTTACTTTACTGTGCTTTACCACTAGAGTATATCCGATTTACGCTATTTTTTTTTTTTCAAATTCCTGTTGATTCCAGTCTCACTACGTGAGGTGCCGATGCCAATTCCAGCAGAGCCAAAACCCGATCTTTTAGCCAGGCCACGACTGAACGCGAAGGAATACGCAAGATGGCGGTTTGAGACGACGCCCGTCGTAACAACACAGGCCCGGGCTGAATGGAACTGTTTCCTCAACAGATGCCCCGAGAGGTTCAACATTGAGTTACCGGAGGAAATTTCAGGGGACGGAACTCAGCGAAAGGTGAGATTTTCCTTGATTAATGGAGTAGCTTCCCTTAGAACATCACGGTGATTAGTAGGCCTATAGCAGAAGATGGCGTCTAGATGTTAAAGAATAAGGGATTTATCTATAAATTAAATAGTTATTGGGCGAATGGGTGGGATAATGTTAAAATTTACATACAATCAATCTTATGCTAATTAGTGTTTTACTGTGGGTTTTTTTAAAATTGTTTTTTTGTTGTTTACATTTTTGCAATAGGCCTTAGATAATTATCTGTATTAAAATGTCCAGCATTACGCGAGTGTAATTTACGATTTGACTGGGACATGTAATATCAAACGTTATTTATTATGATATATCTGATGCTAATTTTATTCATTCTTTGGAGTATTTTTACATTAATAGAATACTGGAAGATATTATTCTGGTTTGTACCAATTGTAAGCATTAATATTACTGCGTGCATTTAGTATTAACTAGGACCTATAACAATCATCATCAGAGTTTCTTCCAGGCTCCCCCCCCCCCCCCGAAGAAAGTCTAAAAGTTTACCGCCCCCCAAACGAAATGGAATTTATATAGAAAACATATACTTTTACCAGTGTCCGCTTCCCCGGAAAATGTTGTCCGCCCCCCCCCCCCGGAAGAAACTCTCTATCATATTTTTTCGTTCGTGCCCAAAAACACATTGGTTCAGATGGAGAAGAGTGCATCTGTTTCATTGACCTCGGCGTACAGGGTAAGCATATGCTCAGAAGCCTAACGTCTTTCGTACCCATCTGAGCTGGGAGGATATAGGGACGATTCTCGATCAGAGGCGTAGCGACCCTTCCCGGCGCCCGGGGACAAACTTTCGATTTGCACCCCACCCCTCAAACTTTCGATTTGACCCCCCCCCCCTTCAAGATTTCGATGTGCACCCCCCTCAAGCTTTCAATTTATTTTTCCAACTTATTTTGGCGCCCCCTAAGGTCGGCGCCCGGGGACATATGTCCCCCCCCTCGCTACGCCTCTGCCCTCGATCTTGGGATACAAACTCGATACTTTCGGGGGTAGCAATCGTAAGCTCTACAACCCAACCACGCCGTCTATAGTATCTGTAGCATTAAACATTATTTATTACTGTGTATATTTCTTTGAAGCTCTCTAACAATATTTCCCATCCCCAGCATTACTATGATCGAGGCTACAGCCTGCCCTACCTGCGTCCCCACCTGACCCGGGGGTGGGGTCTGGAACCCTACAATAACCAGCCTCTTGGTGTCTTCTACGGTCCTGCTGATATCAGTCCTTACAGAAGTATCCGTGTAACAAACAATTTGATTGGGCAGTAGTTTAGATATCCGTTTTACCTGTACTTGGATTGGTTAAATAGTTTCAACATCCATGTTATCTTCAGTCTGATTGGTCGGTAATTTCATCATACATTTGCAAACAAATCAAAACAACAAATTCAATACTTAAATAAAGTTGAAGAGCAATACACTTTTTCTGTTGTTTTTTTTAATTCATCGTTGAAGATATTTGAAATTTGAGTTTACAAACAAGTGTTTTTTCTATAAAGTTGTATGGAATATCTCCATTAAAACAACATTAACAACATAAACGAACCTATGCATCTTTTTTTCAGTTGCAAATATTCTGCTTTATCAAAAGATAGTTTTGTTCTCATCATTAGGCTTGTACTAAAAAAATACTTCTATTAATACAACACCTATACATAACTTTAGTTGAAGGTAATCTCCTCTAATTTTCTTAGTGTAGCTAATAAACAAGTTAATTAAAAAGTCTAGTGACAATTTTAGCGCAATTTCCTTATGTTATCTAAAAATAGCTCTGTCGTAGCGTAAATCAAGAGCAGGGTTAGTAAAACCATTGGTTAATATACATGTTTTATTTACAATAGAGTTACATGACTAAAAACCATTGCGCGCCAAGCTAATGAACGTGATGGCGCAGCTATTGAACGTGATGACGCATGTGGTGTGGTTGGAAAAAATGCCTACTAATTCGGTCCAAATTTTAATTAATTAAAAAAAAAATTTATGACCGAACGAACGGATATTTTTGAAAACTTTCTTCGGCAATAATGTTCTAAATTATGGTAGGAATCGATTGGTACATGTTTCAAGTCGCTAAGTGGTCTGGTTGCCGAGATATGGGCCAAAAACTGCATTTTTTCGAGGTTTTTTGCTTTTCCGGGAAATCCATGAAAGAAACCCGGAATTTTTTTGGCCTATGTTCATCCTAGTAACTTGCTTAACATATTTGCTTTGGAACTAGTCCTCGATATTGCTTCGTTGAGGAGGAGATACGACTTAAAGCTGCGGACACACATTCATACATTCATCCATCCATCCATCCATTCATCCATCCAGAAAAGACGGGTTAATAAACGCAATTCTCCAGAATGGAAATTGCGCTAAAAATGGTCTAACAATTGTGTTGCCATTATTCCGATAGAGTAGACAAGGACCACTAGCGAACAGAATAAAAGCGAAACCAATAACTTACAATTTAAAATATCACCCACGCTTGACTTATAAATAATACCCACACCTGTCTCCCATATCCCAAATAGTAATTAACGAGTCTTTTGTACTACAAGTCATATTCAACATTATATCAGTCTCATCCACCTGATGTATAATTTCCCTGAGCTCATCCACCTGATGTATAATTTCCTTGAGCTCAGCTCATCCACCTGATGTATAATTTCCTTGAGCTCATCCACCTGATGTATAATTTCCTTAAGCTCAGCTCATCCACCTGATGTATAATTTCCTTGAGCTCATCCACCTGATGTATAATTTCCTTGAGCTCATCCACCTGATGTATAATTTCCTTGAGCTCATCCACCTGATGTATAATTTCCTTGAGCTCATCCAACTGATGTATAATTTCCTTGAGCTCATCCACCTGATGTATAATTTCCTTAACCTCATCCACCTGATGTATAATTTCCTTGAGCTCATCCACCTGATGTATAATTTCCTTGAGCTCAGCTCATCCACCTGATGTATAATTTCCTTCAGCTCATCCACCTGATGTATAATTTCCTTGAGCTCATCCACCTGATGTATAATTTCCTTGAGCTCATCCACCTGATGTATAATTTCCTTGAGCTCATCCACCTGATGTATAATTTCTTTGAGCTCAGCTCATCCACCTCATGTATAATTTCCTTGAGCTCAGCTCATCCACCTGATGTATAATTTCCTTGAGCTCATCCACCTGATGTATAATTTCCTTGAGCTCATCCACCTGATGTATAATTTCCTTGAGCTCAGCTCATCCACCTCATGTATAATTTCCTTGAGCTCATCCACCTGATGTATAATTTCCTTGAGCTCAGCTCATCCACCTGATGTATAATTTCATTGAGCTCATCCACCTGATGTATAATTTCCTTAAGCTCACCAACCTCATGTATAATTTCCTTGAGCTCATCCACCTCATGTATAATTTCCTTAAGCTCATCCACCTCATGTATAATTTCCTTAAGCTCATCCACCTGATGTATAATTTCCTTGAGCTCAGCTAATCCACCTGATGTATAATTTCCTTTGAGCTCATCCACCTCATGTATAATTTCCTTAAGCTCATCCACCTGATGTATAATTTCCTTGAGCTCAGTTCATCCACCTGATGTATAATTTCTTTGAGCTCACCCACCTCATGTATTATTTCCTTGAGCTCAGCTCATCCACCTGATGTATAATTTCCTTGAGCTCAGCTCATCCACCTGATGTATAATTTCCTTGAGCTCATCCACCTGATGTATAATTTCATTAAGCTCATCCACCTCATGTATAATTTCCTTGAGCTCATCCACCTCATGTATAATTTCCTTGAGCTCAGCTCATCCACCTGATGTATAATTTCCTTGAGCTCATCCACCTGATGTATAATTTCCTTGAGCTCATTCATCTCATGTTAAATTTCAATAAGCTAAACCACGTCTTCCACGATTTCTCTAAATCCAATCACCACCCATAACAAAAACAGTACTCAACTAATCAGTCACATTCTAAAATAGGAATAAAAGAGCCTTTTAACTCATTTGTCGTCTAGAATATCTAAAATAAACTCAGATACGTAAGTTACTTACCTTATATTGAGTGATGGACTGTATACACTGAATTAATCATTTTGGTTAATCTCATGTTTTTAAATATTTTAGGATGTTTATTTTGTCAGATACCCAGTCTTTCTCTATCTCTTTATATGCATATATATATATATATATATATATATATATATATATATATATATATATATATATATATATATATATATATATAAATTAATAAATATATAAATAAATAAATAAATATATATATATATATATATATATATATATATATATATATATATATATATATATATATATATATATATATGTTACGGTCAAAGCCCGAAGTGCGGCCGAACCCCGGATTGGCCGGCCAATGCGCGGATTGGCCGGCTCTCTTGGCCAAAGCCCGAAGAACTTAGAACTAAGATCGTATTTCGTACATTGGCCGGCCAATGCGCGCATTGGCCGGGATGTCCTGGCCAATGTTCTATTTAGACTAAGTTGTGATCGCGTTTTCATTATTCTAGGTGCGGTTTCACTGTGAGTAACGTATTGTTTAGCTCTTGTTTGTATAGCATCCACAAGGATGGAAAAAGAGCTCAAGAGAAAGTACAAAAATATCACCAAAGAAATCATTACTATGTATCTTCGGTTGTGCAAGCCTTGTCAGACAAAATTGTCTAATCCCAAGAAAGGTCTACGAACCATCGCATCTTCACAATCATTGACCCAAAATCTGCTCATGATTTTCTAATTCGGTCGTCTTTAGCCAGGTGATCTTCTAATTAATACTTTGGCCGGTTCATCATGGCCAGTCCGCGGACTGGCCGGCCAAAGGCCGAAATCAAGAGCTATTTCAGACTTTGGCCGGTCCACTATGGCCAGTCTGCGGATTGGCCGGCCAAAGGCCGAAATCAAGCAAAGTTTCGGACTTTGACCGACCTATGGGAGGCGATATTGGCCAATGCGCGGATTGGCCGGCCAATCCGCGCATTGGCCGACTTCGGGCTTTGACCGTAACACACACACACACACACACATATATATATATATATATATATATATATATATATATATATATATATATTAATACATATATTAATATTATTAATATTATTAATAAATATATAAATAAATATATATATATATAAATATGTATATATATAAATATATATATATATATATATATATATATATATATATATATATATATATATATATATATATATATATATATATATATATATATATATATATATATATATATATATATATATATATATATATATATATATATATATATATATATATCTGATGCCATGTAAAACTAGATTTACAGATAATCCGCCTTAACATCAAGCCACTTAGGTATTAATTCAAGCAAAAATTAAACACCAATCCCACCAAAGTATGTTACAACAATAAGATTCAATAGTGTTATTTTTACACAAAGACAAACGCTTCGGTTTTTGTTCCACAATATTGAAGATTTCCTGACCAGATCGATGGGGCCCGTTGATGTACGGTCCAGATTGCTAGTGTTTGGCAAACATATGTATCCCACCATAAGTAGTGGGGGTGTCTTTTGTGCGGAAGTGCTCTGAGATTGGCAGCAGGGATACGGGCAATCAAACAAGTTTGGGGTTTCAGGGGGAGCCACTCTCACTATCAAACTGTAACAGATTACTATACTTTAAGCCGTATATATATATATATATATATATATATATATATATATATATATATATATATATATATATATATATATATAATTGTATGTATATTTATGTATATGTGTATATATGTTTATGTATATATATATATAAACGTATATATATATATATACATATATCCACCTCCACAAATAGACCTATAGGCTATATATATATATACATATATACACAAGCATATATATATATATATATATATATATATATATATATATATATATATATATATATATATATATATATATATATATGAATACATAAATATATAAATATATAAATATATAAATATATATATATATATATATATATATATATATATATATATATATATATATATATATATATATATATATACATATATATGGATGAAAAGGATCAATGGAAGGTAAGAAGAACCAACCATCTTAAGGTCTGTTTGGAAACTAAAGGACAGACCGACGTACAGCTAACGGAAGGCCTGGCCTAATGCTAACGTTCATATCGTTCTTATTCCCTTAGATTTGAAAGTACTTCTATCAATTCTAAGAACACCCCAGACAGACTTTACATAAGAAGAAAAAAAAACCGACCTTCCTAAAGTAATGCTACCAAAACGAACCTCTAGCAAAGTAAACAGTGAATCCCCACAAACCGCCGTCTCATATTTTCTTATACTGGGCCACTAGTCTCAAGTGTACGTGTGATGGAAGTTTGAAACTTTTGATTGGTTGGACCAGATACATTGCACTGTCCTCACATTTTATGACTTTTCCTGTTTGTATTCGCTAAAGTGTTGAATAGAGTTAACGTTCAATAACATTGGATTGTTTTGGTAGAGAGTACTTTACTGATAGGAGTAGGAGAAACTTTCATTTTTTAATTCACATAAAATACAAATAGACGTATCTTAATGCGTTTAAATATCCTATAAGTTCCTTTTCAAATCAGTCAGTATGGGTAGATGAAGTAGATTTTTAAATACATCACACGTAGGAAGTATTTGTTCACTCTCTTGCTAGATATTCTTTATTATATTCTTCGACTCTGAGTAGGTTTGAGCTTAATGAAATATCCTACTAAGAGAATGGAACTCGAGACCAACTGGTTAACACACACTTTCTTTCACTGAATATGCTCATGCATGCATGTTATTTTTTACAATGGAAAAATAAACTAAGCTGTTTTTTCTTGCATTCATTCGGGTGTTAAAGTACACTTTTATACCTATTAACGCTTAAATTTACGAGTTCGATTCCCGCCATCTAGCCCGTGGGTAGTCCCTGGGTAACCCAGCCCGTGGGTAGTCCCTGGATTACCTAGCCCGTGGGTAGTCCCTGGATTACCCACCCCTTGGGTAGTCCCTGGGTAACCCAGCCCATGGGTAGTCCCTGAGTTACCCAGCCCGTGGGTAGTCCCTGAGTTACCCAGCCCGTGGGTAGTCCCTGAGTTACCCAGCCCGTGGGTAGTCCCTGGGTTACCCAGCCCGTAGGTAGTCCCTGAGTTACCCAGCCCATGGGTAGTCCCTGGGTTACCCGGCCCGTGGGTAGTCTCTGGGTTACCCGGCCCGTGCGTAGTCCCTGAGTTACCCATCCCTAGGGGTGTCCCTGAGTTACCCAGCCCGAGGCTAGTCCCTGGGTTACCTTGCCCGTGATGGTGTCCCTGGATTACACGGCCCGTCCCTGGGTTACTCAGCTGAGGACAGTACAGACGGCTGCGTACTACTGACCACATACATCTGCTTCCCGCGTTAAGAGGAATACATTATGAACTCGATCTATTTCATCTGCCTATAGAGCCGACATGTCTGATACTACAATTTACAAAGGACGAGGTCAAACACAATTACAGGCTATTTAAACAGTGCTTGCAAACAGGTCATAGAGAAAGACTCACATACTTTGTGTAATGAAACTTCCTTAGATCAGTGATCTATTGGGCAGAAGAGGTAGAGTTCATGAAGGGATAATGCACAATACCACGTACTTGAACTCGAATTTGAACTCGAGACTTTCAGGTTACCAGTCGTATGCTCTAGCATTCCACTACTCTGTTCCCGTCTATGTGTAGAAGTTAACGAAAGCAGAGTGGAGAAAGTACCACTTCTGGAATACGTTATTTTTTTAAACTAAAAAAGAAATGCAACTAATAGACTAGGAGACTAAGAAATAACTGCATATCTTGAAATCTTTATAGCATTTGACACGGCATTTTTTCATGCACAAATAATTAAGACGAAAAGTATCACATCCAATTCGTATTTTATTAAATAATCTGTCAACTTTGACAATGGAATAACTTTATAATAATTATCTCTCTAATTAGTTTTGTATACCTACCAGTGCATAAAGACGAAAATTGTTAAAACGTGTGTCTTTACGTCATCATAGCGACCCAATCATGCCAACTTTTTTTTCCTACGGGTACACGGGAGTTCTTAGCCACAGATCTGGCCCAAGGTTCGAATATCGATGGCCCTTTCCCTGCCCCCGACAATAATGCAGGCCAATTCAACCCTTTTCATCTTTTTTTTCCCCGTCTTGGGTTTATCTCTTCCGGTCCTTACCTCTTCTATCTCTCCTGTATTTGTTTTCTAAATGGTTTTCTCTTTCGCTCTGTCTCACTTTCTCTTTCTCTATCTCGTTCTTTGTAAGAAATTTGGGCAAGAAAAGAAATCACGTTTTTTTAGAGTTAGCTAGAACGCGTAATATATATTCAGCAGGAATGCGGTTTTGTAAAAATAAAAAGTGTAATAATAGCGTTTATAGTAATGCACTTGAATATATGAGATACTAAAAATTAAGAAAAGTAAATGGCTTTCTTTAACTATATAAGGTACGCATATTTATATAACTATAAAGAAAATCGGTGATTGCTCATAACATTTTAGTTGGGGTATTCGATTTAACGTACAGCAACCTACGTTTTTTTTATAGTCATTCAGGGTGTTGACCTAAGTGTAAAGTTTGAACAAAATCGGTTCGGTAGAAGTAGGTGAAATTTAGTTCAACCGTTTTGACCAATAAAGAAAACAAAAATCAAAGTAAATAAAAGTTTATAATAATTACACTCAGCTAAAACAGCTAATTAAAATGGTTATTAGCAAATAACAATAAAATTGATCCACTACTTTACATGATATGCTTATTTATGTACCTATTTATTTCTTTTTAATTCGATTAATTTTTTTATTTTGGGTGACATATCGGAGAGAACATAAACAGCATCCATACTTATAGCAACTAGCTAACGCTAAGTGTACGTATCTATAGCAACTAGCTAATGCTAAGTGTTCGTATACATAGCAACTAGCTAACGCTATGTGTCGGTATCTATAGCAACTAGCTAACGCTAAGTGTCGGTATCTATAGCAACTAGCTAACGCTAAGTGTTCGTATACATAGCAAAAAGCTAACGCTATGTGTCGGTATCTAAAGCAACTAGCTAACGATAAGTGTCGGTATCTATAGCAACTAGCTAACGCTAAGTGTACGTATCTATAGCAACTAGCTAACGCTAAGTGTACGTATCTATAGCAACTAGCTAACGCTAAGTGTACGTATCTATAGCAACTAGCTAACGATAAGTGTCGATTTCTATAGCATCTAGATAACGCTAAGTTTCGGTATCTATAGCAACTAGCTAACGCTAAGTGTCGATTTCTATAGCATCTAGATAACGCTAAGTTTCGGTATCTATAGCAACTAGCTAACGCTAAGTGTCGATTTCTATAGCATCTAGATAACGCTAAGTGTCGGTATCTATAGCAACTAGCTAACGCTAAGTGTCGATTTCTATAGCATCTAGATAACGCTAAGTTTCGGTATCTATCGCGACGATCTAACGGTAACATCTAGATACTCTAATCACAGACAGTGTAACCTTTTCAGACGAGTACTTCAATCTACTTTTTTTTTCCTTCGGTAACACTTGATGACAGGAGTTTCTTATTGGTACGCTGTTGTTTGATTGTGTGGCTGGGGAGCGTGGTATGAATAGATTCAACGGGTTATGGCCGATGTATTTATTTTAAGTACCAATCCGTCAATACACCTAAATCAGATTTCTCAACCGCGGTTTTTTTCTTTCCTCCAGGCTCAACATTTCAATTTTTAAATATATTTTATTTTTTACATCGTGACAACTTTAGAGGTTGTTCTTTTGTAATGCGTATAGATTAGAAAAATCGATTTCTCCAGCACATTTTGACTGTTGTTTACATCCAAATGAGTTGTTTCCTTTAGTGAAAATCAAATTTAGGCTGTCCAATTCGATTAGATTACAAATAATATTTACCTTGACATCTGAAAAAAAAATCGTTCGATTGCAAATTGCTAAACCAATATTCAATAATTTTTCTAAAAACACTATTTGCCAGTTTTTTTTGTGTAGAATTATTGTCTTTTTTTCATTACTTTTGTAATTTGGTCTAGCCTCCGTCGGAATAAAAAATAGTGGGTTGAGGATAACCTACACCAGCTAAATGTGACTTTGTTGCTACAGATACCTTTAGGGGCTCTCAAGCCAAGTTTATTTTTAGGTGGGACAATTTTTTCATGGGATACAAATTACCTTTCGTTCTTGAAATTTACAGTGTGAAGGGACTTGAAACTTCCGCGTTGGGGGGGGGGGTAAATTTGTCTAAAGTATCGAATTTTCTATACAAATTCTATACATTTTTCCATTTCATACGGACCTGTTACAAGTGAGCAGTGCCCCCCCCCCCCCTCCCCAATTTTCCTCGGAGAATTGCCTGAAAAAAAAACTGATTCGAACCCGTGTAAAAGTTTTTTTGTACTGTGGAGAAGAGAGAGCGTATGCTTTAGAAAAATCAAATAATTTTTTCCAGGTGCATGTGTTTCTGCTAACCAACCTGAATATTTCTGTGGTGAGCTACGTTCCATAAAATTCGTAGAATTTGGTCATGTAGTGTCGATGCTACTGCGAAAAAAAAGTTATATAGAAAAACAAGTTAATTGGCGCATGTTATTTATGCTTCATTAATTTTGAATTAATAATGTCAAGATATTTTTTATAGTTTTTATCACACTTTTAGAACGCATGTTTACGGTAATTCCCCTTTCATCTCAAGACACACGCATACACCTGTCACAGATTCACGCTGAGATACTAATCAGTGTTAAGGTGAACGACGTCTTATCGAAATACCAGAAATTTGCACTCAAGAATTTTATAGTTAATAAAATATATGCAAAAAAAACTATTTACCGAACTTAAAATTTCAATTTCTTAATCTTCGGTAATGTTCAGAGTGGGATTATATTAATTAAACCAATTAGTTTAAAAATTAATTAACAGTGTAGTGATATTTATATTGGTGTTGTATGGCTTCTCTATCGTCTAACGTAACGTCTAACCTGGCGTAAGGTGTTTATGTTACCGCTTCTGATCCGGCGGTCAATAGGATAGATGAAGTAGAGTTTACAAGCTTTTGTGACCTAGGCATATGAAGTGGTAGTGTCGATAATATCATGCCCAGTCACCAGATTTAGTAAGGTACCATCAGAGCTGGATGGAATAATGTAAGTACTACACATTGAAATCCGGGTCCGAACTCTAGGCTCTCCGGCTAATAGTCGTGTGCTCAACCGTCCGATGTGATTAAACAAAAACAAAATAGTGTGGTGTTGTAGAGATTATTTGACGGCTCAGCCTACCTGTAGAGAGCTAGACTGGTATCTCGAAAGTCTCGAGTTCAAATCCAGGTTAGGGGTCGTTGTGGTCGAGTCGGTAAAGCTCATGGTTGCTAAACCGAAAAGTCTCGAGTTCGAACCCTTGGGCAGGTGAGGCTCGGTGAGGCTCATTAGCTGGGGACAACAAATCTTCTAGGAGAGACAACTCCAAAATCAAACCATCGCACCATCGCTGCCTTGTAGTTTTGTTCTTGGTTGGACAAAGTCTATGGAATCAAAGGCTGAAATCGGGATCCCTTCCAACACTAAAAATTAAGAACGAAGAAGAAGAAGAAATCCAGGTTCAACTCATTAAGATGTCCCTGAGTCCATCAAGCCATGATGGGTATTTAACTCGTTAAGGGAAAAAGAGGCGGCTAGGCATAGCACTGACCATACTATCACTTCAGATGAAACAGATGAGCTCTACTTCATCTGCACTATGTTTCTTGGGCACGAATGGGTAAAGATGGCAATAGTAAAGACTAACACATGTTGTACGTTAAGCTAATGTTGTTAAACCAAAGTTATGGTGTTCGACTAACCCCAAAGAGCGTGTAACAACATCTATCAAACCTTGCTAGACACATCCAGCACAATTTAGCCTGTTCAAACTAACCCACATTTCTATGGTGAGCTAACCCTTCAGTACTGCCCAGCACTTAAAAACTAAGCCTAATACTCTTTTAGTCCCCCCCCCCCTCCCCCCCTTCCCCCATTTCTTGCCCGCCGAACCCCCAAACTCATTAAATAGTAAGCCTTAGTGTGTCCACTTGATTGTAGGCCAAAGTGGCCAATAGGATGCCAGGGAACAACACACGATGGACCCCCCCCCCCCAAAAAAAAATACAGGCATATATCCCAAAATGTGGTTAGGATTTAGAAGCTGCGGCGTGGGTC